CTTCCGTCTGTGCCTTTTCTCTGTCAGACAAATACTGCTTTATAAAGAATTACGGTCATTCCAGCTTGCACTTGCTTTTACAATAAAATTAAGAAAAATCAAGTTATTCATGGACAGTGATAAAAATCTTATTACCCATAAAGGACCTTCAGATAGTATAGTCATCTTTTCCAAGTACTTAAGAACCAACTAATATACATGTCCATAATTCAAATATATGTCAGTAACTACAATTGGAGAAGCTCTACTTGGAGTCATTTTCTAAAATGTTTTTCAGTTGCCCCTTCCACTCCTTGAGTAAGATCTGTGGATTGCTATTGCCTGGACTTTTCTGCCTTCTTCATGGAAATGCAGTTTAAAACTTTCCTAAAGCCCCCTCTAGTGACAAATAACAAATTAATTACTTCATAACTAATACCTCCAAACTCCGAGTTCTATTTTCTCGTGCAATTATTAGATGAGTAGGTAGTCATGGTATTTTGACTGGAGAACATCTGAGAAACAGAAAATAGCTCAAATTCTCAAGTATTCTTTTGTCACCAAAGCCAAAGGGGTATTGTTCTAAGACTGAGATGAATAGAGAGGATACACACACCATTTAATGCTCCTTCTTTCACTCTGCCCTAATATGTATACTTTAAAAAATATCTCCTAAATGTACTTCATTTTTGTCTTGCAGGGACTTTAAGGATTAAAATATAGGCACACATTTGTGGCAACATGGATGAAGCTGGAAGAGATTATGCTAAGCAAAATAAGTCAGAAGGAAAAAGATAAATGCTGAATGGTTTCACTTATATGTGGACTATAGGGAAACCGAACAAGAAGTCAGGAAAAAGGCAAAATGTGCAACCTGACCATAGAGCTGAGGCACGCAGCAGGAGAGGGAGAAGGAAAGGGGTCAAACAGGGGAAGGAAGACACAAGGGACTGTGGTAATGGGTCAACAGTGCTGTCGTGGCCAGGGAACTACTGGGAATACACCCGAGGGGAGAAATCAAACACCTACCAAAAATGAACAATGTGTAAGACAATATAAATACACACAGACACATACATACATACACACATGCATACACACACATACATACACACATATATACATACATAAAGGCATAATAACCCGATGAATGGAGAAAGAGTAACTTGGTCTTTCACCTCTCATTGTTTTTCCTGGAATTATTGGATTTTTTTCATTGATTATGTTAAATTTGTCCAGACAGATAAATATGAATTCCAGGAACCTTCTGAGTTATGAAACTAAGGGTTATGTATAAAAGATATAGATTAAATGTAGGTATAATAACATAATGCTTTAAGTTAATATAGGTTAAAGCATAATAAATATTACGTGTTTTATGTATTAGGTTGTATTTCATTGTTTGTGTAATATAAAGCTTATTTTGTTAATATCTCTATTTCCAAAGAGTGTAAATCTATCCAACAAAAGATAGATCCAGGGGCCTCCCTGGTGGCGCAAGGGGTTAAGCAAAGCACTATGAAGCTATCAGCAGCCACTGCAGCATGAGTTCGATGCCCGACCAGCCAGGGAGCTGCCCACATGGCGCAGCAGACCTCTCCTGCCTCACCCGCTGCTCCCCTCGACAGTGTATTTCAGTCAGTCTGCCTCTTCTGTTCCCCACTCTGTCTCTGGTGAATCCTCTCACCCCTTGCACCTCTCGCCTGAACCCCGGTTCTTGTATGCATAAATAAATAAATCTTTTTATAAAAAAGATAGATCCAGTTGAACCATTAAAATAAAAAATAAGATAAAAATCACCTGTTTAATAAAAGGGATGAGAAAGAAAAATTGAAAAATAGGTTACAAATAATTGTTAACTAAGCAGAAATCTTAAATCTACATTTCTAGATATCAATAACAAGAAGACATACCATTGGAATAACTTCTGAACAATGTGAAAATCATGTTTAAGTATTTAACACCAGGTCTGCAGAAATGCCTGCCCAGCAAGGGCATTGCAGATGGTGGTGACTCCCTGAATGGAAGGGCATTGCCAGGAGCTAACTCTACATTCAATGCATGTACCTGCCAATGATGGTGAATTATCTCCTGGGAACAGCAGCCAGAAAGGGAGCTTCTCTCTTATTTATACACACAGAGTGAAAAATAAGGACAAATTAAATTGCTCTTATGATTATGAAGTCACTGCTTAAAAGTGAAGAGAACAAGACCTTATTGTGCACTTCTTGAAAGAAGTGGAGCAAAATAATTGAGAGAAATTATACAATAAATATGGTTTCAATTGAAACTGGACACCAAGCGATGTTGTCTACAGAACCCTCTCCCACTTTGCTGTCCTTTCCTGAGCACTGGGCATCCTTCCTATTTCAAAGCAAAATCTACTTTTTGTCCTAAAATCAATTTTCATAAGAGGAGCTGGAGTCAGGGCCTCCCTGGTGGCACAAGGGGCTAAGACACAGCACTATGAAGCTATTGGCAGCCACTGCAGCACGAGTTTGATCCCCGGCCAGGGAGGTGACACACATGGCCCTGCAGACCTCTCCTGTCTTGCCCCACTGCTACCCCTCAGCAGTGTATTTCGGTCAATCTGCCTGTTCTGTTCCACTCTGTCTCTGATGAATCCTCTCTCCACCCTACACCTCTGGCCTGTACCCCAGTTCTTGTATGCATAAAAAAATAAATCTTAGGGAAAAAAAAGAGAAGCTAGAGTCACATTTATGTGAATCAAGTGACTGTGTTACCTCTCCCAGGGGTGTTTGCACTTTAAGCTTTAGCTCTAATTCAATTTAACAAATGCTTACTGGAGGCCTGTTATATGCAAGGCATTTTCCAGAGGTTAGTAAGTGGAATAAAAAGTCTGCATGTTCTTAGACAGGGATTTCAAGCGTCAGTGAGTAGGTAGAGTAGGTAAGCAAGAGAGCTGTTGTTCTCTGGGTAACATCTGACTCTCTGTCATATCTTCTCCTAAGTCACCTTTGCTTTGGGGACCACAGAGCCATCACACACATTTCCACAGTCCTACAATTTTGACTAATCCTTTCTTTACCCTAAAGTGTTAGGGAACTAGGTGTTACATAGCCTGATTTCTGGCTCATTCCGCTTTCCTTGTCATAGAGTTTCCGATTTTTTTTAAAGATTTGTTTATTTATGCATACAAGAACTGGGGTACAGGCCAGAGGTGCAGGGGGGGAGAGGATTCACCAGAGACAGAGCGGGGAACAGAACTGGCAGACAGACTGAAATACACTGCTGAGTGGAGCAGCAGGCGAGACAGGAGGGGTCTGCTGCGCCATGTGGGTAGCTCCCTAGCCAGGGATTGAACTGGTATTGCAGAGGCTACGGATAGCTTCATAGTGCTTTGCTTAACCCCTTGCGCCACCAGGGAACCCTGAATTTCTGATTTATGCCCTTATGCCCGAATTCCCTGATACTTCAGTATCAGGAGTCTTAGAAGAGAAATAATTATTATTTTTTGTGCAGGGTACAGGGGCTCAGGGCAGTACTTCCCTCTCCTCCCCCCACTCCTCTGTGTTCTTCTCTGGCTGGTGAAGCAAACAAATTAACGACAGACAGTAGGAGAAAAAGATCAAATTTAATTACACAACAATAGAGAATTTAGGCTTTAAACTCCAGAGTAAATGGACAGAGTGAAGGTTTTATATCCTGAGCTAAGAATGGCAAAGGGGCTTGGGGCTTCAAGGGTCTCACATGACGAGGAGGGAATGACTTCATATGACAAAACCTTGTCTGTCCTTTTGACAGTTTTCTCCCATAAAAAGTCTGTTTCTGGAGATAACCTTAAGTTTGTATAATCTTCATTCTTTAAGATACTGGTAACAGTTTCTTTTGAGACCTCCAAGACCTTAATCACCTTAACTCCACCGGCCAAGGTGGCATATATTGAAAAAACCCTGTTCTTCACATCCTGGGGGAAAAACTTGTCTAAATATCTGGAGGAAGACTGATCCTAAGCTGAATTTTATTTTATTTACCAGGCTGTATATATAAATCTTTGCAACTACAAAGTCAGTAACCTCTTTCACATTTAAAAAAATTTTTAAACTTAGTTCAAGATGAAGCTGGCAAGTAGCAGAAAATACACAATTAAGTTCCACATATCTGGCTCCAAATGCTTTTTCCATTACAGCAAGATTCTTAGGGGGAGGCGTTGTAATTTTACTTCCTTCCCCGCCCCCTCCGCAATTTGGCAATGTCTGGAGATATTTTTTATTGTCATAACCGGAATAAGGTGGTTGGATTGCTACTGGCATCTAGGAGGTAGAACCCGAGGTGCTACTAAACATTCTGCAATGCACAGGAATCATGCCCTGCGTCCAGCCTACATGTCAGTAGTGTACTGACGAGAAGCACATTACAGCACGCTCCCTGCTGTATTCTGATCTTATTTCCAAGGATTCCAAGGAATCTGCTTCAAAATTAAATTGCAGAAAGACACAGAAAAATCAATTCCTTGTTCATGTTGCAACTCATTTCCATCATAAAGGAAAACAGATTGGAGATTTAGGATAGTGACTGGGGGAAGAGGACAGAACTCTCAGCGAGCAAAAAGGAAAACGCAAATTGGTAACTAAAGTTGAGAATTAAGATGTAAATACGTAAAACATATACACATGAATCCGTGGATGTTTTTCATCCCCGGGATTTTCACTAATCCAAATGTTTAAGATCTGCTCTAAAATGTGATTATTTGAAACCAGTTAAATGTTACCCGGACCTCAACCAACATTTATTTGCCTTTGACTTTTTTCCCGAGCCCCGGGGCCTTGGATGCCAGATGCGCCCCCTTCTCTCCCCGCTCTCCCGCAGGGACAGGGCGGGCAGGGGCTGGCAGGGTCCCAGAGCAACAGACCGGCGCCTCGGGGCTCTGGCCGCGCCGCAGCCTCCGCGTCACCTGCGCGCCCGGCTCTGCGGGCGCCTCGGGGGCGGGGCTGCGGGCGCGCACGTCCCTGCGCCGTGACGTCACAATCCCGCCGCGGCGGCCCGGCCCTTAGCAACCAGCCTAGCGACAGTGCTCCGCCGCCGCCGCCCCCAGCCGGCTCCCTAGCCCATCCTCTGCTGCAGGGGGCTGGTCCGGCCCCGGGAAGGACGGAGGGGGATCCAGCGTCTCCCCGCGCGGCTGAGGGAGGCTCGAAGCATGGATGGCAGCCGGAGAGGTAAAGGCCAGCTCCCGCGGGCGACAGCCGCCTCGCGCCGGCCCGCGCTCGGGCCTGGAGTCGGGGTCGGGCTCCAGGCTGCTCCGGCCCGGGGCGCCCCTGGCCCCCGCGGTCACCTGCTTAGTCGCTGGGTGGACCCAGGTGTTGTCCGAAACTGCACTCCGGAGCTGGCCCGCTCGCCCAGGATCTGGGTCCACTTCTTGCGCTGACTTTGTGGCCCTAACTTCGGGAGGCCCTGTCCCCGGAGCGCCCGGTCAGGGGCCGTTTGTGTTGATTGCCTCCATACCTCTGAGGCCGAGCAGCCCGATTTGGGCGTGGGAGTCGCATCTCCCCGGGTCCAAAATCAAGCCCTGCTGCCCACCTCCACAGAGGTGACCCTCGTTTTCTCATCTCTTGAAAGTGGGGTTAAAACACTCATGTCATGGAGTTCTTGAGGATTAAATGCAGATGACACATATAAAGCTCCTGCCACGTTGTCAGTACTCAGTAAGTAGGAAATCTTCCCTTCCGTACTTAAAACTGTTGAGTGACCCAGGGATTCTGTACCGAGAACAGGAACCGAAAGTGCAGGTTTTGATTCAGTAGGTCTGGTGGGGAGCTGAGATTTTGCATTTCTAGTAAACTTTCCAAATGGTGCAGTGTTGCTGGCTACAGTTTTAGTAGCCAAGGACTAATCTGTAATCACTTTGCACACCTGCCCTTGACTGAGCTGCTGGGTCAAGTGGACATCAGGTTGGCACAATTGGGACCATTCATAGCCATCAGTCTCTACCAGTGGTCCCAGTTCAAATAATCGGCATCTTCATGATTTCTGAGCAAGTAGTATTTTTTTCTCTCAAGTTAAGTAAGTCAGTCTCAAGACCATCCCAAGCCAATTCGGTGTTCTTATCTATTTTTAAAACTACCTTTAAACCAAGTTGCTAGACAGTGTATTTGCAATAAGTCTTGCTTTGAATGTGAGTATGCCTTTATTATGTAATCATTGATTAAAATAGTGCTGTTCTGAATGTAGGAGATAACTATTCATTGATCAGCAAACTGTATATTCTGACACTTTTATCAACCAGAGTTCCAGAAAAACCAACATGCATTTATGGTTTTCAGGAATTTTACTACATAAACTAACATTAAGCTGTTGCTTTGTACCAAACACTAATCCCATGTTATTTCAATATTTAATCCACCAAATCATATTGTTAGGTATTATCTTTATTTCACAGTGAATAAGAAATCATAAATTTCTGGTCAAGGTGACAGTAAATGGCAGAACAGCCTTTGAATCCAGGTGAGAAATATGAAACCTTAGAGCCATTTGTTTTTACTATCCCATGGTAGAGATGAGGACCTGGGGACAGATAAATTTAAAATTTAGAGTATAATTGTCTCTGAAAGTACTCAGTATTTGTTTATTGGATTACTTTTAAAACTATGCTCATGTCAAAATGTAAAAATGGTTTCATTTTTATGACTTAGCCAATTTAATTCACTTCATTTTTAGAATATTAGTATCATTGTTGCTGATCTTGATTTTTTTAAATAAATGTAGTATTCAACAAATATCTGGATTAGTCAGTTAACATGCACTATAATTATTAATAGGAAACTGTAAATAACTTTAGCCCAAACTAAAATACTTGATTATAATTGAAAATAATTGCATTTTTAAAATTAGATTTTAAGTTAACTTTGATGATTTCAGAACACAAAATACTGACACCTAAAGTAAAAAAATATATTTTTTCTTGTCATTCTTGTACTATAATCACATTTTTAGACATTCTTTTTATATGGCAAACCTTTGGTGTGATAGTGAATAGAAAGAGCACCAACATAAAAAACAGTAAATCTCATTTATAATCCTTATTTTCTTGTCACTGGGAAAACTTCAGTAAATCACTTTATCTCCCCAGGCTGTAGTTATCTGTAAAATGGTGGACTTGGGCTAGAAAATCTATGAGGCCTTTCCAGCTTCTCAAGTGGGAGAGGGTGGAAAAGATTGAGAGTAACTGCCCTCCACTCTACTGTCAATGACCTTTGGGAGAGTGAGAAAACATACAGTGTAGAAAACTGAAAGTAACTTGAAAAAAAAATTTTAATCTATTGCTCCAGTGGAGATACTGATCAGTGTATCAGATTCCCAGACTGCTGGTATTTCCCAGTCCCAAGAAACAGCTTCACTTTTCCTCACTGAAGTTCCTTCTAGCTATCTTAGTAAGATCACAAATGGAAGAAATTTATGACCCTAGGAAGACTTCCAATCTCATGGACAAGATTTCAGTCCTAATCTATCGAATAGTTGGAGGATGATGGGTTTTATTTTTTTTTTTTTCCTGGCAGTTGCCCTGAAGCTACTTTTCCATGCTGCTTTATATCTGTCTAGGTCCAATCAGGCAATAGAAACCACATAGTGATTCAAACAAAAGAAGTTTAAAGAACCGTTAAACTATCATAAAAGTGTAGCTGTAAGATATAAGAAATCAATATGATACCCAAGTGCCAAGGAAAGGCAAATTTGGAAGGGGGCTTCCTCCCAGAGACTGGAGTTCAGACCTCATTGGAGAACATATAGCTGTGCCCCAATAGATGGCCGAGAAGTTCAGTGGTGCCCAATCCACAGGTGATCTGAAGTTCACTTGGCGAACAAAAATCAGCTCCCTGGAGTGCAGACCAGCCACAGCCAGTGGCCAGAAGCCATGTATGTTCAGAGGGGGTGGGGAGCACTACAGAGAGGGAGGAGCCACTGCCCAGCCTTGTGATCTCCTACTGCCACCGCCTTGGTGATACTAGGTACTCCAGGCCTTCTGCCTGCACTGTTTCTTTGCCTCTGGTCACTCCCCAAGGGACTGACTGTACAATCCTGGGTTTTGTGGCTGGGGGTAAAGTACTACCATATATCCTTAGATGCACAATGGTGACCCACCATGTGATAAGGTGTCAGAAACAATAGGAGAGCTCCTTTCCACCCACCGTGTTCTTCCAGTGCCCTCTACTAATAAAGAACTACTCAAAGTATTTTTTATTACTGCAGACCATGTATTGAAGGGTGAATATGGAACTAGGCAATAATTTGATAGATGTCACAGTCTGCCACATCGGTTACTCAATTTCAATATGTCCCCGTGCAGTGGAACAACCAGGAGCAGGGCGGGGGAAAGGAGGGCAGGCTCACCAGCTTCCCAGTTCCCTTGCTGGATCTTTACTCATTCTTTTTGGGCTTTCTCTGGCATTATCTCATGGTCTTCCTCTTGTAGCCATTCTGCCTCTGCCATCCTGTGTGTGACGCCGCCCTTAGAGCCTCAGCCTCCAGGCTCAGGTGTGCCCACTTACACATGCCCACAGCATACTCCAGGGGTCCACCATCAGGCATGCGTACCCCGAGCCCATGTTCCTAAGTGCCCCCTGCATTCAAGGCCGCAGGTGATAGCCACAGAGGCCACTGGCACACAAGCCTGACCATCACTTACCCTACACCCCGCTATGCACATTTGAACTTCCTTACAATAACACAGCTTTTCTGCTTAAGAGTAAACATCTTCACTTTGGGAATAGCAACATGAGGTGTTCAGTAGACCCCCTCCTCAGGAAAAGAAGGCTAATGTGAAATTTTTTTTTAAACACACAAAACCATTTAAAGTCTTCAGAAATGGTCATAATAACATGCAACAAATGATGAGCCATTACTTGAGGAAGTCTACTAAAGCTTAGTGAGAACAAGAGTCTGTGACATTGAACCAGAATCTGCTCTTCCCCCTTGCCTGCCCCAGCTCAGCTCTGGGCACATGTGATCAAGAAGGAATCATCTCTCTTCAGTTCCCAATCAGAGGATGTGATATCTCACCAGGAGATACAAGCCAACATTGTTTCTCATCCCCTTCAACTCACATTGTAGAAGCTAAACTCCTGGTAAATGCAGCTAAGAGGTCAGGGCCCTCTTCCACACAGCCTCACAGGGCAGAGGCTACCCCAGGTGTGGCAGCGCTAGAATACCAAGGCCCAGCTTATTCTCTGCTCAGCTTGCTAGGAGGGTAGATGTTCCATACATACCAGCTCAAGCGATATCACCTTGACTTCTCCTATCCTAGTGAGCTAATCTTCTTGCTCTTTTCCCTGTAATGCTGAAGGAACGTCTTAGCTATTCTGAGCTCAAATTGTTTTCCTATTATAGTCTGTTCTAGCAGGCTTTGCCCTCCAGTCCTAGATTTTAGTTCTATCTTAGTACTGTTTCTGTTTGCAGTCATCTACATTTCTTCAGATCTGTGCCCTCCCTACTCCTTTATAGCTTATAACACCCGCTTGAGAACAGACCAGCCATTTTACCCCCTTAAGAGATCTCTGTTTGGGCATCAACTTTTCTGATACTGCATGTTAAATTACACTAAACTTCATAACTCAGCCTTTTACCTTGGAGGTTATCCCTCAAAACTCTGTCATTTTTTAGGGAAAAATTATTTCATGATGAGGCATGTATCTAATTTTTGATGGCCCATCTGGTCTAAAAGATGAAATACTACCTTTAGGGAAGATGAATTTTCCATCACTACAAGTGATTTGAAATATAGACTGAAAGATGGGATCCAAATGAGGGGAAATGGATTGGACTAGATGAATCATAACACATCTTTTCATCATAAAGTTCGACTGACTTTTAAGTATTATTTTATACATAGTAATGTAAGATTTCTAATATATTCAATTCATGAGAGAATTTCTGAAATTTAATTTTAAAGACAGACTAGCTTATAATTAACCAAAATAGTTAATACAGATGTACTAACTAAAAATTTCAGTTTACTAGGGCCTCCCTGGTGGCACAGGGGTTAAAGTCTCAGCAATATCAGGTTATTGCCAGCCACTGCAGCATGAGTTCGATTCCCGGCCAGGGAGCTGACCCAAATGGCACAGCAGACCTCTCCTGTCTTGCCCACTGCAGTGTATTTCCGTAGTTCTGCTCCCCATTCTGTCTCTGCTGAATCCTCTCACCCCCTGCACCTCTGGCCTAGACCCCAGTTCTTGTATGCATAAGTAAAAAATCATTTAAAAAAATCTTCAGTTTACTGTATCATAAAATCATTTAAAAATCTTGTATGCCGAGGTATACAGAATAAACTCAACATATATCAAATAACTAATGTGTTTATCATGTTTATCTGTGCCTACAGAATTTTTCTCTGACATATCATGGCTAGTTAGTAATATGTCTAAATAAATTTTTTTAAAGTCTTCATTAAATCAAAAATAAATTTATTATTTTTCAAATGTTCGACATTGTTGTCTTTGTGAAGATGATGCTTCATTTATCCTAATTCATGTTTTTTCTGTTTAAAGTTAGAGCAACCTCTGTCCTTCCCAGATATGGTCCACCATGCTTATTTAAAGGACACTTGAGCACCAAAAGTAACGGTAAGTGAGGTGCTGCAAATGGCAAAAGAGATTGTTAGAAGATTGACTACATGTCTGTTTCCTTTATTTGCAAACTACATGACATAATGAAAAAATTACCCCGTTTTATCAATATTTGAAATTCATATTAATTATAATGAAATATTATTGGAATTCTTGAGGTTAGAGAATTTAGGAGTCCATCACTGCCAACTACTGTTGTGCCCTGAATGTTGACCTGCCTGCCGCCTCCTCTCTGCTCCAGCTCCAGCCCAGCTCTACCCTTTGCTGGCAGATTACCTTGGCTTCAGGCATACCTTTCTTGTGAAAATGACAATTAGGAAGTTGTTAAAGACACCAGGGCTGAAAAGGAAAAGCTGTACAGAGAAAGAGAACACTTGGAAAATGCATTTTGTATCCAGAGCAAACACAAGCCTCTCTATCCAACTGGACTTCTAGCACCTACGAAAGGCGATGCACTGTGAATTTCCTATCATGTTTTCACATTTTAAATATTTCAATGTGAAATTTAAATGTCTTTTTATATATATTATAGCTTAAATGTTAAAGCATGGGGTTTTAAGCAAAATAATTGAACTTTTACCCTTATTTATATGAAAAATCTTTGATACTGGTTCGTCAAAATGTGAAAGAATGACCACATTTTCCAGTTACCTCACTTATTTCTTTGTAATAAAGTATATGTTCACAAAGAGTTAGAATAATAACCTTTGAAAAATTATTTTTAAAGAACACTTTTAAACTAGATTTAAAATATGCATATACTGAGCAGCATGAAAAGCAATATGTAGTTTGCTGACTTTTTTTTATAAGATTTTATGTGCAGAGCTGGTGTGAGTGTAGTGGTTAAGTATGAGAGGCTGCCTTGGTTCACATCCAAACTGCATCCTTTATCATTGGTGTCAACTTGAAGACCTGACTTACAGTTATCGCTGTGTATCAGTTTCCACTTCTATTAACAATGACTAGATGCAGTTTTGCATGTAAGGAGCTTAGAACAAAGCATACAAAGTACCCATACTGTAATGTCTTTTGTGTGGGGGGGTGGTAGGTAGATAGTAGTAAGTTTGCATTATTGTATACACTAATATCAATCACAAAGTAATTAGCAGAGTATGCTTCTAGAAGGGAACAGTAGGAGTCAGAGCAGGACTTTTTTCCATTCTCTATATGATTGTTGTTTTAATCACATGCATGTATTCTCAAAAATGGTTTCTAATGTTTAGAAAAGTTATGCCTATGTTTACATTTTATACTTGCATATAAGTAATTAAATATTTCTGATAATTCTTTTTTAAACAGTTTAGATGAGGTCAAGTTTAATGTCATGGAGTTTCGATACAATTTGTCTTAAGACAGTCCTCAGCTGACTTATAGATCTTGTTTTGAGATATAAAATTAGAAGTTTCCTTTTTAGTATTGAATCTTTGCATAGTGTTTTGGAGTATCTAATTTTTTTGCTTTACTGAATTCCATGTATTCAAGTATTAATAATGCTAACATTTTATAATCAAACAAATGGCATTTTCAGTTACAAGACTGAGCGCTGTGGATGAGAAATAGTTTTATGAACGTAATGATAGATTACATTCTAGAATCTGTTCCCGAAACTATCAGACTTGTAAAATTATTCTTAGAAAGTTCTGAGCCCCAGTAGCCTTAGTTCATCAGTTATAGAGCAATATTCTGCTTACAACATACTCAGCATTACAAAGTTATGTCAGTTTCTTCATGGTTGAATTTCAGAACATTTTATAAAAATGAGCTTCATAAACATTATCTCATGATGATATTTATGTTAATTACATGTATATATAATGATTATGTTTTAATTTTTAGCTTTTTGCACTGACTCCTCCTCTCTCAGACTAAGTACTCTCCACCTGGTCAAGAATCACATGGCTATTCACTATAATAAAATCCTTTCAGCCAAAGGTAAACTGTGCCAATATGAACCGTTTGTACCCAATTTAAACCTTCAACTTTACTTCTAATTAGAGTAAATCTTTAGTAAAATGAGTATACTGTGTGTAAGTGGATTTGATTTGTGTTTGGTGTAGTCAATGAACTCAAACAAATTCAGAGTGCCTTTTTTTTTGTTAACCATATGAAATGTGTTATTTCATTTTATCTGTGTTATCCCTAATGTTTTTGGTTAGACTGATCTTAATATAATAAGGCTTATAATCTGTTTTTCTTTTTTCAAATCTACTAGTGAACTTGCACAAAGAAGATGCTAGATATGTTTTTTCCTTTTTTTCATTAGCTTTATTGAGATATAGCTTACATACAATAAAATGTGCTCATTTTAAATATTCGAAAAACATATATCTCTCAATAAGCACCATCACAATCATGCTATAAAATAGGGATTAGGTAAACTACAGTTTACACACCAAATCCTCCTGCTAGCTGTTTTTCAACAGCATGGGTCTATTTCCACACTTAACTCTTCAGTTCTGTTAATTTGTATGTTTATCTTTATACTAGTACTGCACTGCTTTAATTGCTATAGCATTATAGTATTGCAATCAGATACTATGGCAAAGTAGTACTGGTCATTTTAGCTTTTTTTTTTTTCCCCCAAGCCTATTTCAGTACTAATTACAAGTTTATTAAGTGCATGGTACAAACAGGCTAGCTCAGTAGTGCTATGTTTATTTCCAGTCTTTCTTTCTCTGTTTCATTTCGAATAGTTTATATTACTGTGTCTTCAAATTCACTAGTATTTCTTTCAACAGTATCTAATAAGCTGTTAATTCCAATCAGTATAATTTTTATCAAGGATTTTATATTTTTTGTCGCTAGAGGTCCAATAAAAATCAAAACAAGGAACTGCAAGCTCTGGAACTTTTGTGATTCCCACATTTGATATTTGTGGTCATTTATAAACATTAAGATATTATTAAACATCTGATTTTTCTTTTTTTAGCTGCAGTAGATTGCTCCGTTCCATTAAGCATGAGTGCCAGCATCAAATGTAAGTAATTTTTACATCTTTTTTTTTAATTTGGTAAACTACACATAATATAAAATCTACCCTCTTAACCTTTTTTATGTAAAATTAAGTAAAATCATATTAAGTTACAGCCATCACCACCATCTATTTCCAGAACTCTTTCATCCCACAAAACTAAAACTCTGTGCCCATTAAACAATAAACTCTTCATCCTACTTTCTATCTCTGTGAATTTGATTCTCTAGGTACCTTGTAAAAGTGGAGTCATGCCATGTTTTTCCTTTTGTCACTGATTTATCACTTAGCATGTCTGCAAGTTTCATCCATGTTATATAATGTGTCAGAGTCTCTTTCCTTTTTAAGACTGAATAATGTTTTATATATATATATATCTTGTTTATGTATTCACAAGTCAATGGACACTTGGAAATTTGTTTTCTACCTTTTGCCTATTGTGAATAATCCTCTGTGGACATCAATGTACAAATATCTCTTTGAAACTTTGTTTTCAATTCTTTTGGATATGCATTCATATGTTGCTTATCCACATTTTAGTCACTGAGGGACCTCATATTACCACAGTGGTCCCAAAAGGTTATACCATAGAGACAAGGTATATAGTCTCTAGATATTCAACTGATCCTCCTAGGCTTGTGTAATTACACTCTGTGATGTTTGAGGGGCAGAGTCACCTAAAGACACTTTCTCAGAACATATCCCCATTGTGAAGTTACATGTGACTGTATACCCAGAAGTGGAATTACTGGATCACATAGTAATTATATTTTTAATTTATTGAGAAACTGCAATACTGTTTTTTCTAACAGCTGCATCATTTAACATTCCCACCAACTATATATGAGGATTCAATTTCTCTACATCCTCCCATTGAAATTTTTGTGTTCACTAAATCGGATAGATCCCAATAAAAAAAGTATGCTAAATTTTTATTTTACATGAAAGTGGTTATTTTACTTATGGTCAAACTTCTGTTTAACTCTGAAATGTGACTAGCTTTTATTTCTCCATTTGCAATCTCCATACAAGTCTTTGATAGCAACTAGGTACCCAACTTAAAGCATATAATGTGTGAAACCACACACTGTGTTTTCAAATGAACACCAGTTAAGAGAAATAGAATCACTTGTCCTGAATGAAAAAAAAAAAGTATTTAAATTGTAATGTCATTTTTTAAGTCATAAAAATTTAAATTTTTAAAACATCTGCTGATATTAACAACAGTATTTCACTGGGAACAAAATCTGTGGTGAGCACAGTCAAGACAACATTGTCAAGCCGCTTTCACTCTCATGCCTGTGAATATCTGTTCAGAATTGCTTTCTTGAACCCTTGGGCATAGTCAGTTTGTCACATCATATCTGTGCTCTTTAGATTGTGCATTCATTTAAAGTTTCTATAAATTAAATATTTATTATCTTCTCTTTCTGTAGGAAAGTATATGGATTGTATTTATATATGAATAAACATTTTTAGCAAGAAAAGACAAAAATTAATTTTTTAATATTGTTCCATATTTTAAAAATTTGTTTTCCCCATCAGATGCAGACCAACAACGAAGAGAGAAACTGAAAAAGGAACTAGCACGATGTGAAAAGGAGTTGAAATTAACTAAAACTGCAGTGCAAACCAATTCTAAAAATAATTCCAAGTCATTATTTACCACTTTTCAAAAGGTAAGACAGTATTTATATGTGTTAAAAACAAATTTTTCTAAGTTACTTAATGGTGCACCTTTTCTTGGTAACATATTTACTTTAGGTCAGAGTCAGTAAACTTTTCTTGTAAAGAGCCAGATAGTAAATATTTAAGGCTTTCAAGGCCACACAGTCTCTGTCATACTGTTGTACCTCTGGAAAGCAGCCACAGACCATATATAAATGATTGGGCATAGCTGTGTTCCATTAAGACCTTATCAACAAAGATAGAGGGCCGGATTTGCTGAATCTGTTTGTCCAGTTTTTTCCTTGTTGTAGTGGTAAGGGCTGCACTTTTCTGTCTCTCTCCATTTCTCAGCTAAAATTGGAGGTCTGTGTGTTTTATTTGGTGTGATATGATTTTTTTTTTTTTTTTTACTTTTTACTTTTGAAAATTTTAGCATCTACATAGAGTATTTTGGTTAACATCTCCCAGGTGAACAATAGTCAACTGTGGCCAGTCTCTTTTTTTTAAAGATTTATTTATTTATGCATATAAGAACTGGGGTATAAGCCAGAGGTGTGGGGGGTGAGAGGATTCATCAGAGACAGAGTGGGGAGTAGAATAGGTAGATGTACTGAAATACACTGCTGAGGGGAGCAGCGGGCGAGACAGGAGAGGTCTGCTGTGCCGAGTGGGTTAGCTCCCTAGCTGGGGATCGAACTCATGCTGTATTGGCTGTCAGTAGTGTGATAATGCTGTCTTTAACCCCTGTGCCACCAGGGAGGCCCATGTGGCCAGTCTTATCTATATCCTTACTCCCAGATTATTTTGATGCAAATCCCAGAAATCATACAATTTTTTCATAAATATTTCTGTATATAGCTAAAAGATACAATACCACTATTTTGTCTTAAAGTTAATTATTCTTTAATATCATCAAATGTCCAATGTTCCAATTGCCCCATTTTCTCATAGTTTTTTTTCATTAGTTAGAGCTGGGATCTAAATAAATTGATGTTTCTCTTAATCTATTGCTTATCCTTTCCCCACCATTTTATTTCCCTACAGTTTATGTAATAGTGAAAAAGCAAGTCATTTGTCCTGGTTTAAGGATTTTGTGGACCATCTGGATAGTGTGAATATAGGCTATAAGCTTGTGTGGGGGGCTATATATAACTTCAGATTCTCAAAGACTAGCATTCCTTTCTACTCACTACCACATTCAAGATAACCAAGTTTCCTTGCAAGTCACCTACTATAGTCATTGAAAGGATCCCAGATTCAAGTGCATGGTCTTCTAGACTGTACAGGTCAGTCCCTGAGTTTTGTTTTCTCTCCTGTGGCATTTGTGATATGGTTTAAAAAAAAAAAAAAAACCACCTGCTGTTTGGTGAAAATCAGTTTCACTGCTCTCCTTACCAGGTACCATGTGCCTTATTTCAACTCAAGCTCTTTTCAGTGCATATAAGAGTGTGACAATCAGGGGCCTCCCTGTTGGCACAGGGTTTAAGTCTCAGTGCTATCAAGCTTTTGCCAGCCACTGCAGCTTGAGTTCAGTCCCCAGCCAGGGAGCTGACCCACATAACTGAGTTCAGCAGACCTCTCCGGTCTCACCCACTGCTCCCCTCAGCAGTGTATTTCAGTAGAGCCTCCTGTTCTCCTCCCCACTCTGTCTCTGGTGAATCCTCTTACCCCCTGCACCTCTGGCCTATACCCCAGTTCTTTTATGCATAAATAAAATAAATCTTTGGGAAAAAGTGAGACAGTCAATAGTTAACAGGAAGGACTAAGGCATTGGAGCTATAATATTGAATCTGGTATTTTTTTCCTTGAGAAATATGGGGAAGGCATAGATTAGTGTTCAATTAGGAAGTTATGTCATGTTGCCACTTTACCAAGCCAACACTGGCAGCAGCAGAGGACAGATGAATTTACAAGGCAGTTACAGCAGTCTAGGGAAGAAATGATGAAGACCTGATCTAAGATAGTTCTAAAACTTTCACTACAGGAGTACATCTAAGATGTATTTAGAAAGTAGAATCCTCAGGACTTGCTCACTGATTCAGTGTTGTGATAAGCAAGAGGCAGGAGTAAAAGAAGCTCCCAGGTTTCTGGCTTGGGGAAACTAGGAGAATGATAATACGTCACTCACTGAAATAACAGGACAAGGTGTAGTTTTACTTTGGATGGGGTGGATAATGTAAAGTATGAGTTTACTTGTTTGAATATGCTTGATTTGAGATACCGTCACTCAATATAGTTGGATGTAAGCATCTATATCAGGACAGTGGTGTTGGCTGAATGTAGATTTAGGCATCATTGGGGAGACTAAGTGTGTTTAAGAACCCCAGGGCTGTTGACTAGATACAAGGAACAGAACTGCTACATTTGCTATATTTGCTGTTCTCTATACTGCACTTTGCCACCTGGGAATATGTTCATCCATATTAGGCTCACTTGTGTATTGTCATTTTTAGTGATTGTGCTTTTTTAAGTGATAATTTAAAATATTTTCTGTTACCAGCATTTTGAATATAAATTAATAATTGTATTTTGACCTAATAATGGGGTTTGTTGAAAATAAAATATGTAAATAGGTCTGTAAGCATGTTTTCTATTCATTTTTTCTTAGCTACAGACAGTAACTTATGATTTTTTGCCTCTAGAAGTAGTTTTTTTTGTTTACATATATATATATTTGCTCATTTAGAATTCACAAAAACTTGCAATTTGCCTATACTTTTGATAAGCCTTGATATAAATATTTAGATTCATCTAAATTAAAATTTTTATTTTGAGCATAATATTTTGGTAATTGGTTGGGTTGTATGGTTAACAGACATCTGCTAGAATTATAAACTGCATTTACTGAAAGGGTTGCTTCAATTAAAAAGAAAATGCTAACTTTAGCCTTTGAACAATTTAGCTGGATACATGAGATCATATATCCATGTTTTCTTTCAATTGCCTGTGTTCTCAGGTGACTCTCTCACATTGTGGCTCATGCGTTGTCACTCAGGACCCTCCTAGGCCTTTTCAGTGTGAACTCTGTACCCACAACTCACAGTTATATTCACCAGTCACTCTCATCACTGGCAAAACACTATGTGCTGTTAAGATTAATTGCCTTTGTGGGTAATGATCCATTTTCACCTTTTAAAAGCACTGTATAAGCAAGAACCAAGATGTTGTAGATCAAATTGCCATTACATTCTAGTTTATGCAAATCAGTTTCACTGTATAATATGTACCTAACCTTTGGAATAATGGGCAAGAGGTTTTCTGAGACTATTATTATACTTATGTCTTATTACAAATCCAATGGCATTATCAATAACTTTGTGTACCGTAACTTAACACAGACAAGTCACTTGTTCTCACTTGCATTATAACATTTTAAAAGTTGCTTTATATTTTATGTAAGAATGTTGTCAAACATCTCAAGGCTGAGATTGTACTAGGTCTTTTTATAAATAACAAGGCCATGCATAACTATAACTTAACTATAACTTAACTTAATAAATATATGCAACAATTCATTCAAAGTACATTGAAAATTTAAAAATAATAATAAAAGCAGTGTATAATGCTTTTATAGAAACCAGGAGCAGTCTGTTTCTTCTATAAAACATAATTTGAAACCTTTTTGTAAAACAAATGTTAATAAACGCTAACTTGTACTCACCCTATTCTGCAATTGATTCCTCAACTGTTTTAGAATCTTACAATTAGAAAATTGTTGTATACCATTTCTTCTGACATTTCCCCCCCCAAAAAAAGATTGGTTTAGTTGTTCTATGATTTTAAAATCCAGTAGATGTTCTTGACATGAAAACAGGATAAGGATCTAAATTATCTGTGATCACCACTTTGGATAAATTAAGTCACAGAAACAGTTTACAGCAAATCTGATTGAATTAAGAAAATGAAAATTACTAAATTGCCTCCAGAATTTGTGTTCTATTTAACATATAATTGATGAACCCTTTTCTGATTTAGAGGTCTTTAGTGATATGCTATTCTAAGCTTGGTGAATTTACCAACGTCCTGTACATTTTCTGTGAAAATTATATCCATCCTAGCCTTCTTATTTATAACTAAAAGAAACAATTATATATCTCAAAAAAAAGATTGGTACAGTTGATTTCATACAATGTGTTTTCTTCATTTTCAGGAAGGAGTGTGAAATAGGATACAAGGCAGAGATTAGGAGACATAAAAATTAGAAAAATTCCAAGATTTCAGTCAGTATAAAAGCAAGCATTTCAGCCCATTTCAGACAGATGAAAGTATATTTCTATCTCTAAAGACTTACTTTGGTATTTCATTTTGTTTATTAAATAACCACTACTAGTTAAGAATTTCCTTATAATTAATCCAATGCTTTATACATATATCTGCTTGTACAATTCCTCTAAGAGTAAATAATTCCTGTAGTTATTATTTGATAATCCTGTAGGATTTTCCAGATAATACTTAGAGATTTACTTCCAGGGTGTCAGACTCCTCTACTGTATAAACTGGAGTTTGAAATTAGGGAGCACTTTGAAAAGTTAGTGTAATGAAGACATTTACCAAACAGCACTCTAGTGACTCAGAATTTAATGCCAAAATAAGTGTAATTGTGCCATGGATTTGGGATAGGGTTAGACAGCACTTAGAAAAAAATAGGTAACTTGATCTATTTTAGGCGATAGTAACAATATCTACTTATCTGAATTTCCTTACTTAGATAAATCAGTATGTTGTAGGTTAGCTGACTTCTTGAATCCCAGGAAAAAAAGATAAAATCAATTTAAGATTTCTGGTGGTGTAAAAATCTAAAATTCTATAAGTTTCAAATGAGTCTTTAAAATACAAATAAGACATCAGTGTAAAAAAAATAATAACAGTACAAAAAACAACAAAGCAAAAACAGACAATTATAAACCAGAGACATCCTGCACGGGAGGAGGAGGGAGAGGGATCAGAGGGAGGGAGGGAGGAGCACAGGGGACTGAGGTGATGGTGCACGGGTGCCTTGGGGAAAGAAACTCTGGGGACTACACTTGGGGTGGGGGGAAGCATTGTTCATTTTTAAATTTTTAAATTTAAATTTAAATTCATTTAAATTTAAATTCATTTAAATTCATTTTTAAATTTAAAAATGAACAATGGTGTAAATTTTTTTTTAAAAATTAATATAAAAATATTAAATCTATCCATAAAAAACATAATATGATGTAATGGTGATTTAGGCTCAGTGGGGTTCAAATTTCTTTATCTGTAAACTAGAGATAATTACTGAACCATCAAGATTAAATGGGGATTAAATGAGTGGAACCTGTGAATTAATTACAACAGTACCTTGCACATAGTAATAGCAGTGATAGAAGTTCTTATTATTCCTCTTTTATTCTACTCAATGACGAGGACAGTGTCTTCCTCCTGTTTTTCTCCCCATGAGCTTGTAGGACAGATATAATTGGCTAAATCATAGCATTTTCACTCAGTTTCTGTGACTTGTCTTCTACCTAATAAAGCACCCCTGAGTTTTCTAACACTATACAGGTGTCCCTAAAGTCTGGGATCATAGATGGAATCACAGATGAGGCCTCTTGGGCATCTATTCTGTAAAAGAATAGAATCCTATTTGTGTCCTAGGCTTTCTGACTACACTATAAAAAATAGTCCTTCCAAAGCTAAACCAAAAGGAAATGGAGAAAAGTCTCTCCTAGCCATGAGAAGCTGAGAAACATACGTGAACTTTCTATGGAATAAATATTTCTTCATTATATTTCAAACGTCAGTTACTTAACTCAGGACGCCATACATTGTGAGAAGTTCCTTTTCATGTCTTTAAGGTTTTGAAAGCAGAATGACTGCTGGCTGTGAAAACTGTCACAATGACAAGACAGGAAGGGGAAGATGTGGCACCATGGGTGCTCACAGTTGGTTCAGAAACTTTCAGATCAAACTGAGATCTACCAGTAGATCTCAATACACAAGTTCAAGCCCTCAGATGGAAATATATGTTGTTAATCATTTTTGTTTCAAAAGGGAAAATGATTACTATTACTCTGCTTGAATTATCCTTTTATATATTAGTGATTCAAAAACTTAAATAAAACTTCATACAGGATGCTAACATCTTCAGGGACATATAAGTTAATTTTGCAGACCCCTAAGGCAACCACTTTTTAATGTATAGTCTGGAGACCCCATTTATATGAATGTGTAAGTGTAACGAGTGATGATCAGACCAAATGTTCTTAGCCTTCAGGGGAGCCGCAAGAGGAAGATGTGTTCATTGAAGAAGTGAATGGCTTTTCGTCCTTTACAAGGTCACCGGTAACTTCTTCAGAGAAACTACATATAAGTCTGCCTAAACCTGATAAAGTGTTCACAAATGATACTGAGAAGAACTCCAGTTCCTTCCTGTCCAGCATGGATTGCACCATCTCCGGGCCCAGGAAACCATGTTCTGGACCCCTGTGTGGCAGAGCACCCCGGAGCACGTTCCCAAATGCCCACCGGTTTCAGTTGGTTATTTCAAAAACACCCAGCGGGGACCTTTTGGATAAACATTCTGAACTCTTTTCTAACAGACATTTGCCATTTACCCCACGTACTTTAAAAACAGAAGCAAAATCTTTCCTGTCACAGTACCGATACTATACACCTGCCAAAAGGAAAAAGGACTTTACAGACCAGCGAGTAGAAGCCGAGACCCAGACGGAGCTAAGCAGGTATGGCTCATCAGCACCCAAGGGCGAATTTTCCAGGAAATCAGTGGTAATCCTATTTATAGCATGTACCTGGAGTGAAATCCTGACTCTTCCTTTGGCATGTGTTACTGGAACAATCAGAATAATTTCACACATGGTACTGTAAGTTGTACATATTTTTAAATAAGTATAGTTTTACGAAGCCTCAAAATATGTCATAAAACAACATTTGTGTCAATATGTCTAGTGATTTATGATAAAAATGCCAAAACAATAGGTTATGACACAGGGCAAACAGCCGCTCTCTGGCTGCTCCCTTCTCTAGAGATATTCAACTCCACCCTGTACAGTAGCAACTGTCCAGGAATAATGTAGATAATTGGGGTAATTTCTGAAAATTAAAGGTCATTTACCTCAGAAATGTTTTCAAATACAACAGTGCCTATTAGGTAATGAGGTCTCAGTAAAAGTTTGTTAAATGACTGAAGAAACAAACTAATCTTGTGTAGTATTAAGTATTAGTTAACTTGAGATTGTTTTTCCTATATTATATAAACATATTTATCTGGTACCAGGTATTAGTTATTTAAGAAAGTATAGAAGGGCCTCCCCGGTGGCGCAGTGGTTGAGCACTGGGTTGCGAAGCTGCCCGCAGCCTCTGCAGCGGTGGTTCGATCCCCGGCTGCTCCCCCGCCACTGGAGGAGGGTCCCACATGGCGTGTTCAGACAAGCCTTGCATGCTAACATTTGCAAGTCACTGGTACCCTTCAAATCTGGTATGAATATTTAGTCCCAATGAGCAGACCTCTCCTGTCACCCGCTGCTCCCCTCAGCAGTGTACTTTAGTCCTTCTGCCTGTTCTGCTCCCCGCTCTGGCTCTGGTGAATTCTCTCACCCTCCCGTGCTTCTGACTGTACCCAGTGCTTGTATAAATAAATAAATAAATAAATCTTGGAAAAAAAAAAAAATTACTCAAGTTTTTTTTTTAAAAAAAAAGAAAGTATAGAATAATCTAAGACCAGTTCCCTTTTCTGTGGATATAGATGAGAGGTAAAAAGAACCAAATGAGTCTGCACACTTTGAATCAAAGATTTAAGGAAACTTTGAATTTGTCAGGTGGGGGAGAAATGAGGGAAGCAAATGCATCAATCCTTTTCTGATTGCACTTATGCCATCTGTAAAGGTAATGTCTTCCATTTCCCTGTCCAATTGAAATCTGGTTGCTAATCAAAAGCAAAAGGAAAAAAAAGTATGTAATCTAAACAATATCTATTGCCTGATTTTATGGTTAAAAATTACACATTATATAAGAATAGATGGATTTCATCTTATGTTCGGCTTTTTTTCTAGACAATAAAGCTTGTTATCACAATGTTTTTATTTTAAAGTCTTAACAATAATTTCTTTTAAAACATTACAGCTTTAAATCTGATTTCGATACACTTGAGATTAAAAACTTCGCAGATTCAGGAGCGAACATAAATCAGGTAATAAAAAGTAAGATCTCTTTGTATACCACATTAGAGGTACAGTTGTTTTAAATTAATAGAATGTTTTATCTATTTGAACTGTTACAGTCTTTTGGTTATATCCTGCATGATATAGCCAGTATATCATAGGTTTGCCTGTTTACAAATGGTTACAGCCCTCTGTGAATGGTTATCCTGTCCAAACTAGGAAAAATTTTTGCAATTAGCATCTATTCTAGACGGTTCATTGGCTAGATGGGTAGATTATTAGAATTTTTTCAATATTGTTTTCAAAGATACAGATTTGGATCACTTAAAGCCAGACAAATTATACAAAAGCTATCCAAATTTTTATACCTATATTTTTTAGAGTTGACTCTGTCTACTGGAAAGTGTACATTTTGTGAGACTAGATAATATCATTCTCATGTTTGCTTTTACTTTTCCTGAACCATAAAATTTTTTCAGACTGTTTACGTATTGAATGCTTAGCAATGATTTCTTTTAAAATATTATAGCTTTAAGTTTGATTTTGAGATAAACTGATTATTTTGATTTGGACAGTATTAATTGTAAACTTGCTTCCTAATTTATATTTATTATTTGTAAAAAATGGTTTGTTTATTGTCAAATACAGATTCAGGGATATGTATATGCCCTGTTTGAATTTCAGAATTATGGAAATTTTTTTCACGCTTACTTAAAACTTGCAAGTTTGTTTCATTTTCTCAATATGTTCATTTGTGTCAATTTCTTAATGTCAGCTAAAATATCTCATTAAAATATAAGTGGTTTTATCTTACTTGAAGTGAATTTAAGAAAAACGTCCTAATTGGATGGAAAATGTATCGTAAAACATCCTTTGTTGTAAATATACACATCACTTTTATCTCCATGATGTCTCTACTCCCTCTTGATTTTTTTTAATTTGCTATTTGGTTTCTGCTTTCTTAATGTACTTTTGAAGCAAAATAATTGTTCTCTTCATTGCACCCTCAGGTATCTAGTTGCATGAACTATGAAAAAGAAAAAATGACCCCTTTACCTGTACAGGGGCACAACTTACCATGGGGTGAGGGTAAAGACGGAGCTCTTCAGCACTCCTCAAGGTAAATAAATAACTTACAGAAGTCATCTCAGCACTGCTTTCCTGTGTAAGGGACATACAGTATCTCAACATAAATACAATTTTAATTACATCTACTCTAATCTATTTTTACAGTATTAGTTTTACTAAGGAAATTTTACGAAGTAGGTACTCAGTAGAAGTTTAAATGAATTCATTTTGCTAATTCATTAATAGAAGGAAAATGTACACTGTCTTGTATTATTTGCCATTACTATTCATTTAAAAGAATTTTCCTCAAGGCAAATCTCTGACCGTTTACCTGACACAAATAGTACTGAAGACCTTATCATTTGAGGACTCATAGTTTGTGACATTGAAATGTGACATAGTCACCATTTGCTAGTGCTTTATTTATGTTGGGTGAAAACACACTTTTCAGAAAACTGCTCAGCATGTTTAGTAGCCATGGAGTGCTGTGCCTAAAGAAAATGATAGGTGAGCAGACAGTGTGAGCCTAAAAGATACATTTAGTAGTTTCAGCTGGCATACGCATTTCCATTATCAGAGAGATGAATGGATAGAAGAAAGAAAGAACTAGAGTTTTAAAAGAGGCCAAGAATTCAGCCTTTATACAGCAGCCACGAGTCCAGCGACACCATCCATCAGAGCCTTTTACCAGGGAGAGCTCAGCTGGCAGAGCTTTGGGCTTCTGCTAATCTCTGTCTTGAAATTTCATGGTATTTCAGTACTCATTACTCAAGATTTGTAAACTACTCTTGCACCTGTTTATAGTTAATATAAAGAAAGGGATATTTATCTTTTCTAGTAGTTTCTACCTAAAAGAAGTAATATAAAATTTTAGAGTTGAAAAAAAATTTATAGTTGCATATACCTGAGTAAAAAGTTTAGAATTAAATAATGGTATCATAACAAAATGTTACCATTGAACAGTGACATTGAACAATGACAAAATTTATCATAATGACCAGCTTAAAAACATTTTCCATAGGAAACTATGTTTCCAGCATTATTTATATATTAACCTTATTTGAATTGTCATTATTCGTGCTACATGAGTCCCACAGTATAGTTTTAAAAAGGATCGTGAGTTTATTAGAAGACCAGTAAATAAGCAAGTCTGTCTTTGCTATTTAACTAACATGTGACCCTGGCAGCTTACTTAGCCATTGTGCCCCTGGTGATCTCATTAATAAGTGGGAAAAATACCTCCCCAGTATACCTGACAGGGTTATTCTGAAGATTAGAGTAGATCATGGACATGAAAGTGCTTTACAAATCCCGAAACATATAATTTACTAACATAATAGTAAATGATTTGTAGCCCAACCCTTGCTTTGTTCAATTTTTTTTTTTTTTCTTTCTTTCTTTCTTTCTAGGACAATATGTCAGTATTCCTTGGAGCCTCCTACAGGGAGAAAAGTGTACTCTGAGTAAGAGCTTTTTGACTGCTTCATTTTGTTTAAAGGAAGCCAAGAATTAAGAATCACACAAATATTACTAAATAAGTCAAGACTGACCACTAATCTCTCTTACTTTGAGGGTCAATTATATAATACATGCAGAAATTGAGAAAATGACAAGAACGCCCTGAAATAGTTATCAATCATGTCATCTTTATATCCAGGGGAAATTTGCCCCTAAATGCCTACTTTTTTCATAAGTTGTACCTGTAATTTGGGTTTATTTTTATAAGGAAAATAATAAAGAAGAAGATAGCTAAGAAAAATGCATATTTTTGATAGCTCCAGATACCTTCCTGGAGATTTTTAACAGTTCTTTGCAGATATTATGCTTCTAGTTAACATTGTTTTAGTTTAGCAGTATTTTTTCAGGGAAAATTATTAGAGTTTCATTTAATTCCCAAACGTGCTGCTTAAATACTAGAGCCTATGAATCAGTTTGAAAGTATTAACTTTTCATTCATTTTAATCTTCTATTTAATTTTCTTATTAACTTCTCCCTATATTTATTCAATAATTGAGTAGTTATTTGCTTTTTTTATTAGTTTGCTAATTTCAGCTAGTTAAAATCAAATAGTTGCCCAGTTTCCTTATAATAGCTAGTAGTCATATCATAGTATAATAAGGAAGTGTGTCCAAGTAATTATAAGTTACTACTATATATACCCATAATTCTCTGTTAGTTTATTTTCACTCCTTTCTAAACATTTTGAGAAAAAAATGAATTTTTTATGCTCAATAAATTTCCCAACCTTTAAACAAGGTGCTGTCATAGGAACAGGAGTTTCTTGGTTGAAGTTCCTGCTTCTCTGAATGACTTTCCTCTTTCCCCTCTTGCAAGTACCCAGCACAGGGGCTCACACCTCTGCAGCTGGATGAGGTCTGGAACCAGGGGATATTGAAGATGCTCACCAGAGACACTTGCCCCAGTGGTCCACATTTAGTCTCTCTTGCCTTGGTTGGTCTCCTGTTTGGTTTGGTCTAATCCCTACGTATTTATACTGAAAGATGGATATTGCGGACCTCTATGAAATTTTACTCTATTAGAGAGGGTTTTCTCATCTTTAATATCTAGCCTTGCATAACTTGAGAAGGTAGATATAGGTTTGTTTTATAATATTCCTCTTAGCAGTGTGAGGTAGAAGGACATTTGTAATCACAGAGATGGATCTAACTAGATACTCATATTTCCTATACTTTTCAGACTAGCAATAATTTTTATACTGTATATTGCTTTGCCTTTACAGTGATGAAGAATTATTGTATCTGAGTTTCATTGAAGATATAACAGATGAAATTTTGAAACTTGGTTTATTTTCAAACAGGTTAGATTTTTTTTTTAATTGTATTATTGTGGTTAAAGAGCATGTTGAATACTCTTTTTATTTGAACAAATGTAACATTTATCTTAGCATTTCCAGTCTCTTTAAGTTGTTTGTTAAATTTTTAAATATTTTCCTCATACCAGGAAATAAAAGATTTTATTTTTCTCTTGGCGAACCATATTCTTACCATTGATAGCAAATTGTAAAGAATGTTTAATTCATGCTGTAAGGCCACTTCATCTTTTGAGGGGAGTTATCGAAAACAGTAGAAATTTTATTCATTTAAAATACTGTTAGATCTCTAGTTATAATAGCCTAGTAAAATACACTTTTGCAAAGATATGTAATCCCATTTTACTATTTGACACTGTTGTGAGGATCAAAAGCAAGCATTTTTGTTACCACTGCTACTCAGAAAGTAAAGACAAATTAAAAGCTGGTTTTATACACTAAGAGTGAAATGGAAAGTTGCAAAGCCATTTTAGGTATTGCCTATCTTCAGGTAAATATATGGTCCTGAATCATCTTGAACTTTTATCGAAAATTCTTTGGCCACTGAGCCCTCCTTATGTCGTGGAACATAGGACTTCTACGTGTACACGCTCCACTCTAATAATATGGCGAGAGCAGGCATTTCTAGTGAATTCTATTTTTTTATGAAGCGTTTTTATTAAACATTTTCATTATTTGGTATAAAAAGATATACAAAAAAGACCTAAGTTTTAGACAGTTATTCTATTTACTCTTCCACTTAAAAAAGGTAGTTTAAAATGTTTGAGTAATAGGATAAAACATCCTATTGTTCTTTCTCACAACAGTGTGAGTAGACTTAACATTACTGAACTATACGCTTAAAAATTATTGCAGTGGTAAATTTTGTTATTTTTTTTTTACCACCATAACAACAAAAGTAGTAAGATCCCAATTGCAAATCCAAAAATTAAGCAAAGATCAGAAAAAAATTTGCAGGAAACATGTACTTATGCTTTAGATTAAAAGACTGATTATTATAGCACAAAAAAATGGAATCATCCAACATGTTGGATGATTTAGTTTAGTTTAATAAATTGTGGAATATTTATGAGGAAGTTCTGTTCAGAGATTTTAAAAGTACAAGCAAATTCATTGATACAGAAAGATATTCATAATATATAATTGATTTAATAATAGGTACCCCCAAAATAGAAAAAATAATAGGTACCAAAGCAGTGTATTTTTGGATTTGGTTTTCACAAAGAAATATATTTGCATTGAAAAAATGCCTGAAATGAATATTCCAAGACATCAATAGTAGCTGTAAAATTAGAATATGGATTTTAGGCTTTTTAAAAATTGTTAAATAATTCAGAACTAGTAAATCTGAATTTGACTCATAGTTTCATTGATAATGAATGGTAAAAAGGGGAATGAGTTGTTTATCAAGAAAATCGATACATTCATGTGACAGCAATTTAAGCATGTTGTAACTGAAAGATTAAATTATCTGGAATCAGATACATGTGGGTTAAATTGTTTTAATGGTTTATGACCTTAAGGGAGGGAAAATCATCATCTTAGAGATATAGTTTTCTCATCTTTAAAATGGTTTTTAAATACCTTTCTCTCCTAATACCGGCCATGATTAGAAGGACAGTGACTTTGTGTCTAGCACAAATGCTTAGCACTTAGTGGTTATTATATGGACTATTTAACATAACTATAAAAGGATTTAGGGCTTGGTTTAGGCAGTGAAAAAGAGGGGGAGATAGACTTGGGGTGTGTGTGTGTATGTGTGTGTGTGTAGGGAGGGACTTTTGGAACCTCACATGAAGTATTCACAGAAATTTAACACAATCTTTCAGAAACATTAAAAACATAGTAGAAAACATAGTAGAAACCATGTTAGCTTCCAAATCAGAACAGAGGACTAGTTTTTTGATCTGGAAAGAAAAAGTGTAATCTAAAATTATTTTCCAATCTTTAGTAGTTTAGTTATTGCATTGTTGTTTTATATTTAGGTGGTTTTGTGATTTTGAGATATTAACATTTTTATTTATCATTTGTAGGTTTTTAGAACAACTGTTTGAGCGACATATAAAACAAAATAAACATCATTTGGAGGAGGTTTGTCTTTCCTTAGAATAGCCTCAGAAACATTCTAATATAGAAAAAAATGTTAAAGTTATTTCACACTCTTAAACAATGCTTTTAAAAAGCCTGCTTTTTCCCTTGCATTTATGTGTGTAGGGGTGGAGAATATGATTCATCCTGAGATTAGGGGCACTACCAGGGTGGGGGAGGCTGGGGAGCAGCAGTTCACTTTGATACGCTTAAATTAATGAATTTTTTCTTGTCTTCATCTTATTCTAGGGGAAAATGCGCCATCTGCTGCATATCCTAAAGTTGGATTTAGGCTGCGTATCCAAGGAAAACGCAGTAAAACTGGATGATGTCGATAATTTTAATTTACTTGATTTTGAAAATACTGGGAATTCTGAGCAAAATGAATGTAAAAATGAACAAAATGCAATTCAACTAGAACGTCAAGAATACAAAAAAGCGTTGGATATGTTATTGTCTCTACCAAAGGAAGAGAATGAGGTATCTTCACCAAATGAATTCTACATGCCCATCTATAAATCAAAGTTTTCAGATGAGGTTGAAATTCAACAGGTGAATGATGAAACAAATCATGGACCTGCAATTTGGGATGAAAAAAGTCCAGACAACTTAACAGACAGCTTCACAGACCCAGAGACCGATGTGAATGTCATTGAAGGCGAGAGTGACACTGAAAAGGTTGAGACAGCAAATGAATTGTGTTGTCTTAGCATGGCCCTCGCCCAGACTGGTCAGTTGTGCGCTGTCGGTGGTGACGGAAATCATGACATGGAACAACCAACTCTTAAAATCACAGAAATGAGCATTGAGGACTGCCCTGTGGATGTTTGACCTTCATTAATAAATATCCCAAATGGCCAGTAATTCAATTTTATTTTTCCTCTTTTTCTCTTTTTTATATTAAGATTTATGTTCTCCTTTTCTATGCTGTATAATAAATTGCCATAACTAGCTGCTTAAAACAACACACATGTGTTATTTGTCCCATAGTGTCTGTGGGTCAAGAGCCTAAGGGTACTTAGTTGGGACCTCTGCTCCGATCTCCCAGGCCCCACACAGTCCAGATGTTGATCACGGCTTCACTGGGGGAAACAATCTCCTTCCAAATTCTTTGCGGGTTTTGGCAAAATTCCTTTCCTTGTACCTGTAAATCTGAGGGCTTTCTCACTTGCTGAATGGGGGGAATTTCTGAACCTTTATTTCAGGGCTGTAAGAATCAAATAGGTTTGTATGAGAATTAACTACAGGCTGCCTTTAAGACAGACCATGTCACTCCCTTAAAAGGAAAAGCTTTAAGAGTATCCTCTTGCTGACTAGATGAAGTACAAGACCCTTTGCACTTTTCAGAAAGTCATGTTTTCTTTCCCAGCTCATCTCTCGCCCGCCTCTCCCTAACACCGTAAGTGTCCATCACATCTGATTGCCTGTTCCCTAAACAGAGGCCCTCTCTCTTACCTTTGCACTTCCTATCTGCTTGGAATATCATTTCCCCCTGCTCTCCGCTTCAGCTTTCAGACAGCCACATGGAATGTAACACTGCGAAACCGTAAGTGATTGCCCCAACTCTCCTCTCACCTGCTCTGGGATCTAGGAGCCTGTCAACAGTGTGAACCATAGTGTTTACTTACCCACTTTCCACCATCAGACCCCAGGCTTCTTAAGAGGTAGGATCCTCCAGGTCTTTGTCTCTTTGCATGAAGGTATTTGCTCATGGAGGGGAAGTTTTGAGTAGGAGGGGAGGTTTAACTCGACGAGGTTAAGGGGAGAACAGGACAGTTTCCTCTTTTCTTTATACTCCCCCTCTTCGTGAAGGATGTAGCTGTAGTGCCAGCAGGCACAGGGCTGGTTCTCTATCAGTTGGGCAGAGGGGTAGAGGAGAGTACTGGAGCCCTCAGTAGCTTTTGCAGGTTGTAATCTTTGTACACCAATTGTGGGGCAAACCCACCGGCTGGCAAGGCAGGGAGGCCAGGGTGCCAGGAGGCTGGCAGGCCACCCAGCCCCCGGCGATTCTACTCTTTGGGCTTTCTCTGGCGTTCTCTCGTGGCTCTGCCTGTCTGCAGTCGCTCATCCTCTCGTAGCCTTCCGCCCTCGGTGCCCTTATAGCCTCAGCCTCCAGACCCAGGTGTGCGCTCTCACGCATGCTTACACCGTACTCCAGGTGTCCACAATCAGGCATGCGTGCCCCAGGCCCATGGTCCCAAGTGCCTCCTGCCTTAGCACAATCAAGGCCACAGGTGATAGCCACAGAGGCCAACAGTGTAAATTAGCATCTTTTTTGCCTTACAACGTCACTTGTTTTCCTTGGGAAGCCTGTCAGAAAGAGCAAGACCACAGTTGCCAAGTAGATTAATTAGCCGTGTGGTGGCCAAGAGTGTTACTCTGGGCCTTGGTTTAAAACAAATTGGGGGGCCTCCCCTGGTGGCGAGCAGTTGAGCGCTGGGCTGCGAGGCTGCCCGCAGCCTCTGCAGCGCCAGTTCGTTCCCTGGCCACCGGCGAGGGTCCCACAAAAAAAATTGGATTAGATGACTGTAGCACCAGCAAGGCACAGAGCTGGTTCTCTGTGATCCAGGCAGATGGGTAAAGGAGGAGTCCTGGACCCCTTAGTGGCTTTTTCAGGCTTTTAATGATCGTTCTATATACCATTTGTAGAAAGGCAACCAGGTTCAGGGCAGCAGGAGGGCCAGAGGGGTGGGAAGCTGGCAGACCCCTGGTCTCCAGCGAATCTTCCCTCTTTCTGGGCTCTCAGGCTGCTCTCGTGGTCTCTCCCCTGGTCTCCACCACACTCTGCCACACGATCCCCTGCCTCCACGTCTGTGTTCTCTGCTCTCTGCTGCCACCCTGTATGCGCCAGTCTCTCGACTCAGATGTGCCCACTCACGCACACGCACACCACACTCCAGGTGCTGCCATCAGGCACTCGTGTAAGACCACGGGTGTCGATCATTGATTCTAATGGTGGGAGGGAGGAAGAAACCTGATCACTTCCATTGACTCTACAATGATCCAGATTTCTTTTAGCTTTAACATGCCAAAGTTAGTCTTAGTGTAATTCTTTGGGTGCTTAGAAATCATAATTGAACAATCTACATCTAGAAGGCAAAGCACCTATTCACCCTTTGTGCTTGGGTGTCCTGGAACACGATCCTCTCAGTTGATTCACACACTCAGTGACAGACGATGCCACCTCACAAGTTACTCTTCCCAGACCGTCTAAAAGGGGCAGGTGGAGCTAATAATGGCAAATCCTCAAAGAACAAATCCTTGGGAACAAAGATTCCTTTGAATTGGGGTAGGAACAGTTTTGCTTCAAAGACAACCTCAATGCCTCGAGAATTCTATCTTGCACCAACATTCAAGTTTGGAAACAGAAACTCCTAGCAGTCCTGGATGTAAGGAATACAAGCTGCTGAAACTGGTGAATGACCTTCATTTTTACCCTAAATGAATACTGTTGTATTCATTTCCTATTACTGCTGTGACAAGTTACCACACACTTAGTGGCGGACAAAAACCACCTGAAACCAAGTCCTGAAACCAAGATGCTGCTAGGGCTTTGGGGGTCCTAGGGGGGGATATGTATCCTTACCTGACATGGTTGGGAAGCTGAGGTGAGGACTCAGCTCCCAAGTTACATGAAAATGTCCTCAAGTCTGCACTGTGGCCCCTCCTCCACCCTGAAGGCCCATGTGTAGTGACTTCAAATCTCTCCCTCACACCTCTGCTTCCGTCACCACATCTCTCACTGTGGCCCACCTGGGACTGCTTTGGAACCACCCAGATAATCCACAATGATCTCCCTCTCTCAAGAACCTTCACATTTAATCACATCTGCAAAGTCCCTTCCATCATAGCGTTCACAACTTTGGGGGATCAGGATGTGGGCTTCAACCCACCACAACTGCAATGTTATTACCATTCTAAAAATGGCCTAAATCAACTTTAGGGTCCATGACATTTGGCGATGCAATGAAATCTGAGTTGAACTCTTTATTGAATTGCTTCCAAGTTGAAACTTTTTCATTACTAACACAGTGATTCTGGAACTTGACATTAGAATCAACCAGAGAACTTAAGGCAGATTTCTGGGCTGCATTCCCATAGCTTCTGGTTCACAATATTCAGAGCTGGGGCAGAGCTCAAAAATTTGCATTTCTTTTTAATTTTATATATTTTTACATCATTTTTCATTTTTGCACAACATATGCTTTTTTTTAAGATTTATTTATTTATACAGAACTGGGGTACTGGTCAGAGGCGCAGGAGGGTGAGAGGATTCACCAGAGACAGAGCGGGGAACCGAACAGGCAGACAGACCGAGGACACTGCTGAGGGGAGCAGTGGGCGAGGCAGGAGAGGTCTGCCACACCATGTGGGTTGCTCCCTGGCTGGCCGGGAATCGAACCGGCACTACAGAAGCTGCGGACAGCTTCACAGCGCTGCACTCAAGCCGCTGCGCCACGTGGGAGGCCCCACAACGTATGCATTTTCATCTTGGTTATAGTCCCCATACAATTGCCACACTACCCTCCTTGCTTTGATCCTACTTCCTTCTCCCCACCCCCAACCTGCCCCCATAATGTGTCTCTGGTATATAGTTGCTTGTTGATTTTGATTTTTACTTTATTATAATTAGTATTTTTCATGGTCCCTTACTTAGGTTTTCTAAATTCCTGCTATGAGTGAGTATTTTTTCTTTTTCTTTTTGGCTTATTTCACTGAGCATGATAACTTCCAGCTCCATCCATGTTGCTGCAAATTAAAAATTTGCATTTCTAACAAGGTTCCGGTGCTGCTGTTGCTGGCCCCAAAACAACCCCACTAAAAAGTGAACATCAAAAGAAGTTCCACTTCAGGGGTAGTTCAACAAGTTCCACTTGCCTGCTGGGGAGTTGATATTGTCAGGAAGTACATCAACAAATACCTGTGCAGGTGTGTTGACTGTTTCACAACCGCCCAGACTAGTGTAACTGGCTATTTTGCCAAGATGAGTTCCCACTCAAGTGATTGATTACCAGGGGCACATGTGACAACAGATTAACAACTAAAAGCAACCTCTACCGTCTAATGCATTATTTAAAATAATCCAATGGGGAAACAGGACAAATGATGTGCCTCTCTGAAATAAGCTCTAGGGTGAAAAAAACAGAAGAAAAATAACTTTAATTGTACCATTATATTCACATATAAATCATATCTTGCTTCATTATTTTGATGGCAAAAATAGACTAATATCCTAATTTCACCTGTATCAGTCATTCAAACTTGACTGTTAATTGTACACTTTCACAAACCAATGACAGTTTAGAATTAAGTTCTTCTGATAATAAATCTTTACATTATTGATCTGATAAATAGTATATAAAATTGCCTTTTAAACTAAAATACTAGAAGACTACCCTAGTATTTTTTTTTTAAAAGATCTATTTATGCACACAAGAACTGGGGTACAGGCCACAGGTGTGGAGGGTGAGAGGATTCACCAGAGACAGAGTGGGCAACAGAGCAGGTGGATCAACTGAGATACACTTCTGAGGGGAGGAGAGGTCTGCTGCGCCATGTGGGCTACCTGGGCGGGAACCGAACTTGTGTTGTGTGGCTGCGGATACCTTCATAGGTTGCATCTTAACCCCTTGCGCCACAGGGAGGCCCTATCCTAGTAATTTATGTATGTATGTATGTATGTATGTATTCATTCATTCATTTTGACTGGGTACAGTCAGAAGCGCGGGAGGGTGAGAGAATTCACCAGAGCCAGAGGGGAGAGCAGAGCAGGCAGAAGGACCGAAGTACACTGCTGAGGGGAGCAGCGGGCGGCAGGAGAGGTCTGTCGCGCCATGTGGGACCCTCGCTGGCGGTCAGGGATGGAACCAGCGCTGCAGAGGCTGCAGGCAGCTTCGCAACCCAGCGTTCAATTGCTGCGCCACTGGGGAGGCCCTATCCTAGCATTTTTAAAAGATAGCATTCGCAGTGCATTGCTTGAATTATAGGGCAACTTTCTAAGAAAATGTATTTCATGTTTTCTCCAAATTTTTGTGTTATGTTAGGCACATTATATTAACCTCTGTTAGAGTTTTTATTTAAATAAATTTGCTATCTGGATGTTTGTTTTTAAACCATGCCTTGATAAATTTACTATGAGTTGGCTTGGATTGCTTTGGTTTTGTACCCAATTATACAACTCAGGAAAAGACAACAAATTTCTGGTTAGACTGTGATTCTGCATCTGAACTTGACAGCATCATTAAAATTCAGAAAACTTCCCCATATTAATAAGCACAATAGAGTAAAACATTGAGGTGATTTCATAGGAAAGTAACATTTGCACAACAAAAAATCAGTTTTATAGTTCAATGTAAAAAACTACTTGGGAATACAGTAAAAAGCAAAAACATATTCCAATGGCAATCTTTTGAGTAAGGTTTGATTATGTGCCTGCATTTTTTAAAAGGCTTAATATATTAATAATTTCCCCACATTTTCAACATGTTCCTTAGAAATTGAGTGTATTAATAATTGTATAACAGCTTGATTCACAATAATTAAATTTTTAATATAAAAGTGAAAAAAATCTAATATAGACAGGGTTTAAAATGGTATTCACAAAATTTTAACCCTTAAGAAACAGCCCTGGGCCTCCCTGATGGCGCAGGCGGTTGAGCGCAGCGCTGTAAAGCTGTCTGCAGCCTCTGCAGTGCGGGTTCGATCCCCGCCGACTGATGAAGATGGCAGGGCAGACCCCTCCTGTCTTGCCCGCTGCTCCCCTCAGCAGTGTATTTCATCAGCCTGCCTGTTCTGTTCCCTGCTCTGTCTCTGGTGACTCCTCTCACCTTCCCACACATCTGGCATGTACCCCCATTCTTGTATGCATGAATAAATCCTTTAAAAGCCCTACACAATAACTACTTCAATCTCTGTTGTACCACCAAAAACAGTATACAAACAAACCCATTAGAGTTCTACAACCTGTAAGTTGTGACAGGGTCTCCCTGGTGGCGCAGCAGGTTGAGTGCAGTGCTCTGAAGCTGTCCAAAGCTTCTGCAGTGCAGATTCGATCCTGACTGGCCGGGGAGAATCCCACATGGCGCAGGAGACCTCTCCTGTCTTGCCCACTGCTCCCCTCAGCAGTGTATTTTTGTCGTCTGCCTGCCTGTTCTGCTCCCCACTCTGCCTCTCGTGAATCCTCTCACCCCTGGCCAGCACCCTAGCTCTTGTATGCATAAATCTTAAAAAAAACAGCTTGAATAGACACTTAGCATGTGAAATAGTAGCTGGACCTGTGTTTCTGCACTAATGAAAAGTGATGAAACAAGTATTTCTCCCTTCATTTGTTCTGGGTTTGTTTTTTTTTTGGTTTTTTTTTTTTTTCAGCTGATGAATGAACAGATGGAAATGGAAAGCCAATTATCATTAAATCTTTTCTAATCTCAGTAACCTACCCAAAAAATTGAGGTCAGATCAACGTTCTCACCAACGTTCTCACCCAACCTTCTCAATTTCTTTGGCAGTAAAGAGTGTTCCTAAGAGTGAATTCTAGAGATTTCTTTCACCAAGTTTTTAGAGTGTGAATTGAACATGCACAGGGCACACTTTAAATTTCAATGGTAGATAAATTTGACAGCTGAAGTACTGGTTTTTCATAAAGTTTAGAAACCAGCCACCCAGCCAGTGAGCTACAATTGCTGGCTTGTTACACTGGAATGCTGCACTGTCACAGCCAGCATGGACACACAATGATTCAAGTCAGAGGATTTCAGAGGCTTTAAAGGGTTATTTTATGACATACCACAAAGTCGGTTAAATTTAGTCCATCAAGGAATGAGGACCAAAAGATTTACCTAGCTAATAGGTAATTTTCAAAAATTTGGAACAATACCACCTGTGTTATTTCTACAACGGCAAGTTCAAAGAGTAACTTCTGCCTTGTCATCCATTTATGCTTATTTGTAATATTAAAACATAACTTAAGTATATAGTAACTCATTCTTAAAATAAGTATGTAGTAACTCACCCATCAACATAGTGGAAAATGATTTAGATTTACTCTAGGTTTTTGAAGACTATATTTTCAACTATATGTAATTTATACATTTTTGGAAATATGCTGTACAGCCTGACCCTAACTTATGTACACGTGACCTCAAGTCATCCCCTATGTAGGAATATTTGCTTAGGAACTCCCACTTCCTCAGCAGGATGCCACAGACCTTCAACTTCCTTCCTAGCCCGCCTATAACCTCCCATTTCACACCAGTGGATATCCAAGGGAGGGCACGTAAGGGGGTCAGGGAAGGCAGGGGAAGGTGTTGCTGACTCAGCCTCCCTCACCCCTGCCTCCCACACAGCCAGTTCAGAGGCAGCATCCCTGCTCACTTCACCATGTCTTAATCTCTTCCTTTCCCTCCATGTGCCTCTCAAGTTTCTGTAGCCATTGCTGAGACGCTTATGCCCACCTCTCTCATGAAACACTGACTAACCTGATTCACTTGCTATGAGGCTCAGTCTGAACCCCAAAGAATTTGCTCTCTGATCTCATCACCAAGGTGCAGCTGGAAAAAAGTTGCCATCTATTTTTCTTGGTGTAAATTATGGTGACTTGGTTCTACCTACTGCTGCTTACCTGTCAGAGCTTCTATGGTTTAAATAAGATTTGGGGGGCCTCCCCTGGTGGCCATAGCGGTGGAGTGCTGGGCTGCAAAGCTGCCTGCAGCTTCTGCAGTGCCGGTTCGATCCCCAGCAGCTGGGGAGAGTCCCACATGGCGTGACAGACCTCTCTTGCCGCGCCCGCTGCTCCCCTCAGTAGTGTATTTTGTCAGATACCTGCTCTGGCTCTGGTGAATTCTCTCACCCTCCCGCGCTTCTGACTGTACCCAGTGCTTGTATAAATAAATAAATAAATCTTTAAAATAAATAAATAAATAAATAAGATTTGGGGGCACAATCCAAGAAAGTTAACATCCATGTACTTGTTTACAAAGGAAGACGTTATCTCAGTAATTCAACATACAACTGAATTTAAGAGCATAATTTTTATTTGGTAACTGTCTACAGTATACAGAAAACTGCCAATTTAACGATCCAGGACCCCTTCGAGTATTTTCTAAAGTTCTGTATCCGTCTACTCAACACACAAACTTTAAACAGTTGGACTTTCTGATTCATCCTCATTTTTCTGTAATTAATTGTAGACACTAGGGTAAATGGAGCCCTTAGCTACAGAAATTTGAAAAAGTCATGGTTTTTTGAGGAGTATTTTCCCAGGCAAATTTCTAACATATCATATCCTCTATTTTTGAAATGTCTATCCCTGAGCTCAAAAAACATACCCCTCCAATTTAGATTTTTTAAAAATAAATTTAAACTGGAGAGAGACAGTTTTAGTTTGTTCCACATTAAATCTTGATGGGAAGTAATTTCCCTAAATTTATATCCAAGAATTCCTTTAAAAGTTGATATTAAAAACGACATACAATAAACAGTAGTTCTTGCTTTCTCTTGTTCATGCAAATCTCAAATACACCTCCTACTGCTCGGCTGCATCTGATCTCCAGTTTTATCTTTTATTACATATAAAGTTTATCTTACACATATCGCATATACATACATATTTTCCTAATATTGGGAACATTAACATGTCAACCTATTTGAATGACTGTTTTTATTTCTTCTGATAATGAAAGCTTCTCAGAGAAGTTGGTCCCCCGACCTGCTGTCACCCCTTAGTCTCCTCCTCTGTATTTCTGTATAGGCCTTGCCTGCTCTTTCTGGAAGTTTCTAAGGAAGCACATGTCCAGTTACTGTTTCAATCCTGCCAAAGAGTTTTAAAGGCTAATTCTAGGACTTTCTGAACACTTCACAGGAGATGTTCCAGAAGGAAATAATTAATAATGGCTGCAATTAACACTCCAAATGATATTCTAAAATGAACACTTTCTGTGTTTGCAATGACCAACTAGACGATTTCATCAAAAAAACCTCCATTAAGCACGAAAACTGATGCCAGAAATGACAAAATTGATCAGTGGGAAACACCTGTTCATAAGCTATGTTTTGCAAAAATAAACATTTTCTTAATTTTGACATGAAAATACTACTACCATGGAACTAAGAGACTAAGACACACGAAGAATAGTGGAAGTTTGGCAGACAATAACTTTGTCGATTCAGATATGGAAAACCCACAACACCTCAGTGTTCACTCTTGGAAATCACAGTAATGTAGGTTTAATTTTATTCAGAAATACTTTCATATTTACTACCTGTAATTAAAATTTTTAAATTCGAAAGGGACAAAAAATTATATGGATCTTAGAAACTATGTCACACATACATTTTAAGAGTGACAATTATAGGGTATGTTTTAGTCTTCATAAGCAATTTACTTAGAATCAAATTATTACAATAAGAATACAAATATACTATATATTACTCTTCAGATTTTTTGTTGTACAGTATTCTCTTGTCAATGGGACGTTTCATAATGCTTAAACCTGACAGAAAAGCACATTTTAAAAATGTACTGTGGAAGACCTAATAAAGCCTCAGAAACACTCCTTTCCTTTACATGGTGCAGAGATGGGAACCATCACCATGAAACTCTCATCCCGTTCTTATAATAAATATTTACACCTCGGTCTATGATTCTTTAAACCAGACTCCTAAAAATAAATTCAGATTTAAAATTCTTATGTTGTACCTAACTGAGAAATATGCCCACTTTCAACATTCACTTTATCGATATCTTTTGAATTTTCCTCTGAAGTGGTTGATTTCTGGGTGACTCAGAGGTAGGCAGATACACACCGCGTGAAGAACAGGAGTGTTCAACTGCCTTAGGGATTAACTTGAGAATCAGAACCATCCCTAGGATATTGTAAGTTGGGGAAACAGTCTGATTTGACATTTGGAGAAGCAGCCTCAGGAAAAGGAAAAAAGAGGTGGCGTTTCGGTTAAATGTACCGCTTAGTCCTTACCTACTCAGCTCCGAGTACAAGCCCATCCTGGCCTAGGTCAGGCACCACGTGCCCGCCTTGACTCTGCCCACTGGGATGTGCTGAATAGGATGGGGGCATGACACCACGTAGCTAAAATTGATCTCTCCAGTGAAGTTTGGAGATTAAGGAGCAAAAATTCAAGTACCTCTTGAATACCACAGCTTTCTCCTGGGGGACCTGCCAGTTTGGGCTGTAGTTCTGGAAGGTGACGTGAAACAATTACTAACTCTTCCCTTCCTACAACCAAGGGAAGATCAAGCCTCTTCAAAGCATCTTTGAATGATAGTAATAAACCTGATTTTATTTGTTAAAGAATACAGGTTTAGGTGGAAAAACTCCAAGGAAAAAGTGAATCACTGACAGGGACAGGCCTTGAATTTCCTGGGGATACCTACCTCTGGGGGACCTCCATCCCGAGCCTCAGTCCGAAGACGGGTAATACTGTATGGGCACCCTGCATTTCCCATCCTGAACTTACACCTCACTTGCTCTCGTCCCAGTCATCCTACATCCTTAACACTTACCACTTCCAAAACACTGCTGAAGCAATGTCCATCGCTGCTGCTATTGCTTACTCTATAAAACAACACATATATTAAAACTCAGATTTATTGTTTTTAACCGAAAAAAAAAAAAGTGCTTAAAACAATCCTATCCAATTGTTTTTCACTTCATTTTCAACCAGTAAAACCAAACTCATCCAGGTTTATGAATAATACTGAAAAAACGAGCGAATCTGATTATTGTTACATTTTAAATACTGTACCTTCATTCCCAACTTTCCCTCCCATTAGCAGACTCATTTCAGTACCTTTATGAGTTGAGCAAATTCTTGTTTGGAAAATATTGACAGTACAAATATATAGAAGTTTTAGGATAAAAAATTTTCTGAATATAAAAACGCTTTCTCTATGTTTTAAAATAACACTTTTAGATTCCTCTTGTAGTTTTGGGTTTGGAAACCAAACTGTTAAGTATTCAAGATTCTTTAAAAATAACAAAAGATAGTAACATGGTTTTAAAGACAAAGTAATAAAGGAGCCTCTCCTCTGCGGCTCATCACCACGGAAAGTTCAGTTTACCGACAAGAAAGCCCAAAATATTTTAGTCATAAAATAAAATTCCATTATCAAAAACTAGCTTTAGAAATCTATGCGCCTCAATGATTGCCAGCATTGCCCAGCATAGCTTCAGCAAAATAGAAAGCTGTCTAGAAAACACGACCTCCAGGGTGAGGGCCAGCACTGCAGAGTAGCGGCAGGAGCAGGCCAGGCCTCGGAACCAGGTCCTCTACAACACCGTCCCCCGCCAAAACCCCCCCATTGGCTTGTGCCCAGCGTGCTCCTTCAGTGCAGCCACTCATGGCCTCACTCCTGTCCAGACGCAGCTTTCTGCCTGGAGGCGCATCCAGGAGAAGGCGCATCCAGGAGAAGGCGCGTCCAGGAGAAGGCGTGAGGCAGGCCAGCCCACTCTCAGCTGTAAACGCCGCCCCCGTCGGGTCCCGTCCAAGTTGTGAGCTTATATGAGCCGCGAGCTCTTCAGGAACTGGATGAGAACTCGGTACACGAACGTGTACTGGCCGACCGTCTGCACCATCATCATCCTCTGCTGCCGCAGCATGTCCAGCACCCTGGGGATGTCCAGCACCTGGGGTGACAGAAGGAGCAATGATGGCGCCCCACTCCCCTGGAGAAAGGGGGTGCCCTAACAGAAGTCTGCTTAGGAGCCGGATAGTCTCTTTTCTCCCTAAGCACCTTCATTAGATACCCAGGAAACACGTTCAGAACAAGCTATTTGGGCTTTAGGTCCCTCTCTGTTTGGCCTTGTGCCCAGGCCAACTCCCCCTACCCACCCCCGCTGAAGAAAAGGAAACAAGCACCTCGTTGTGTTCCAGGCAGGCAATCATGACCTCCGACAAGATGACCACACCCGTCCTCCCCACGCCGGCGCTGCAGTGCACCAGTAATGGCGAGCTGGGGCTCTTGGGCTCACTTGTACTATTTGTATGGCGTCGAACAGACTGGATCTCTTCCAGGTATGCTGTGAAATACCAAAGAAATAGAAAAACATGCAAGGATTCAGTCATATCCAAATGACAGCTCCATTTGCAGATTCTCTCCTGGGACTGAGAGGATGCAGGACAAGGAGGCTGGGCTACCCGTCCACCAATGCCACCCACTGATCTGGGCAAGTCGCTGACTGGCTGGGGCTCCCCTTTGTCACTGGCCTGCTGTGGAGATCTTTTCCAAGTGACAGCCTTCAATGTGCAAATGATATTTTAAGAACTTCTTCTGTGAAGTTTCCCCTAAACTTAAGACCTTTATTTTCAGAAAACAAGTCCAAAGCATGTATGAGACAAGACAAAGGTACCCAAATCCTCCTCTCTGCGGCTGACTTAACCGGCCCGAGGCAGCTGTGCTGGGCACAAAGACACTCACATAAAAACCCCTTGAGGTCCTCGGGACAGCCGTGCTCGGGCCAGTCCGTGTACTGCAGATGCCAGACTGTGCGCTCCTGCCCCGTGAGGAGGTGCTTCATCTTCAAGCCCGTGGTGGCATAGCAGCCCGAGTCCGTGCGGAAGCGCGTGGTGATCTTAAACCTCCCGTAGGTGACGGTGTTGTGCCTGGAGCCAAGTCGTGGCCAATACCTAAAGCTCTTTTCCCTTCCACCCTCCTGTCAAAGAAAGAAAGGTCAAGACACAAGGCCCAGCAATGGACACCTGTGGGCATGGCAGCGCGTCTGAAGCTCAGAGCCCCAGCCCTACCCTGCCGTTCTCTCTAACGGTCGGATTGCCCAGGATCGACGGTGACTGCTCTTCTGGGGCTAAGAAAATCAATTAAGAGAAACGAGTGCTCACCTCTTCTGCAGTCACCATTGCTATAATTGCAATTCCCTGTTCCCACACCATCTGCCAAAAGTCCTGGCAGGTATTCTGTAACGGTCCCTGTGTGGCAATGTAATCCCATTCAATTCCGCTGACAGAGACCTGAAATTAGGAAAGTGCAAAAAAAAGGAGTGGGTGTGTAGAATACATATGTGTGCATGCTCATGGTAGCCCAAACAATGTGAACTTAACTGGGGCTTCAATTTAAGGCTTAAAGCTTAAAGAAAGGCTTTTTATCTTATTCCTTTTCCTTGTTAATTCCCACCACAGGCTTCTTTAAAACTTCACGTGCTCTACACTCACATACTATCTGTGTGACCTGAAGCAATATCCAACGTGATTTTACTCTCATCAAATGCCACTTGCAAACTAAATAAAATGTGGGAAAGAGGAAAAGCCAACACCTGACCTTAGATCCTTACTCATTCACTCACCACAAGAAAATTTTCTCCTTCCCAATAGAACTGGCACCCTGCCCAGTGCGAGCAGAAGTTCAACACGAGACAAGAGGGAATCTGGCTTTACTCACCTACCAGCTGTGAGTCACCACTTTTCCATTATCATGGGTGCAACGTTACCCCAGTTAAATAACATTTTAGTGTTTCCAGAGAAAGGTAGCAAAACTTCCTCAAAGAATACAATTATGTTTAAAAATGGTTACAGGGAGCACACAAAGAGAAGAATGGTGCCTTTGTAATAGTAGCCCTGGAGAAAGCCACCAAGCAGCCCAGGCACACTGCTGCACAAAGGCACGCGGGTGTGTGCCCAGGAAAACCAGCCACTCAGCCGCTCTAGAGCTCTCCTGTGGGTGGACAGAAAGAGGCCTGCAGAATCAGAAGGATGAAGTTGTAAAGTCAGGTAAAGAAGTGCTCCCCGAGTCCTGGCAACAGTGCTGGGGGCAGAGTGCAAGCCTGACCTCAGCTCCACTAATACCGCTTTCTTCCATTCAGCCCTGGTGTCTGGGCACCCCCCCCCATAAAAGTGTCACAGTGGCTCAAAACTGGGGTGTTTTTAGGACATATCCTTACATTGTAATTCTTACCATTCTTCCAATGTAACTGGGAACCCCCACCCTCCACTTGTTACTATTTATTACTCTAAGTGTCCTGCTCACCTTAATATGTGACGCGTTGATGTAGCCAGTGTTGTTTTCTTTGGTTGGGACCAACTCCACTCTGGTGTCATCATAGGGAAGGACGTCTTGGAATCGATTTCTCTCTGAATTTTCGGGAAGTCGTGCTGTTGAGCACTCCCCATCAACTAGGCGTTTCTTAAGAATTCGTTCATATTCTGTGAAGACCATTCCCTGTTCTAACCGCTGTTCTAGAATTCTACACTGTAAAATAGAATATGTGGGATAATATGAATACAGTCACATGTCACATTCTGCGACACTTTCTATTTCAAGTCTAGCACATTAGCATATCTACTATTGAAAATTCCAGGCGAAACCAAAGTTAAACTTTTAGCAAGCAAGAGTTCAAAGTACAAATTAAAAAATCTTGTTGGTAGGTAAGAACTATAAATCAAAGTTGGCCTACAGCAATTTGTTTCATAGTCTCTAAATCTCTGGTCAATTTTGTTTCCCCTGAGAAAAAGAATTCTGCTGGGAAGCAGTAAATCCTCAGGCAGGCTATTCAGTCCCAACCCCTATGAACAGATGCTTCCATTTTATCATACGTGACACACAGAAGATTGAAGACATGGCATAGAATGTAATTTGTAACTGTCAGATTTTGATATAATAAAGCGTCATAGCAAATACACCTCGGGCACAAAGGAAGTTTTTGAAAATTTCAGCAACTCCTTAGCTCTCAAGACATATTATAGAACTTATATGACTTCTTCCCTGTGTGTGCTCATGTGCATTGTAGATTTCCACTAACTCTCAGGCTGTCAAGAATCAAGACCACCATGGATGTAAAGAACAACATTCAGAAACTCTCCCCACCAAAAAAAAAAAAAAAAAAAAAAAATCACGTTAGTCTGAAATTATCTATTACAACATTAGCTATAAATTTGCCCCAGTTTTGAGTTCCAGATTACAAAATCCCTGAACACTCATCTGTGATTATTAAAGGGGCCAGATGCACACTGAAGCCTCACGAGGCTCGGGGTGGCCTGTGTCCGCACCTACCCGCTCATCGTTGGTGGCTCGGGCTGGCACTTCCTTCCCTTCGTCTGGCAGAGGCAGTCGAGATAGAGAGAGTCCATTTAGAGCAGCCAATTTGAGAGGACCAATTTTTTTGGCATCTACTCTCTTTTTCATTCCCTATGAAAATATTTACATGTATATATGAGACATACACAGAAACAGCCCCTTTGAAAAGAGGTTTCAATGGACTGAGGACAGGAAAGAGGGAGTGTCTTCATTTGCCAGCAGCCGCAGGGGCGACTACACTCCCTCACAAGCACACACACTCGTCTAACAAATAGGAGGAGGAAGACATTCCTTTCAAGGCCAAAGCCTTGATAAGTCTCCCAGATAGAAGGTGACGAAATGCAATGGTTTCAAGGCTCTGTTGTAATGAAAGGTGAGGCTCCAGGCAGACAGCATTCCTTCACAGAACTCCTGAATTTCACAACATGACATGCCAAAAAGTCAGCTGTGATTCCTTGATTATAGTAAGTTTTTATAATGTTTGGAAAACATAAATTACTTCTTTATGTCATCCTGAAAAAAACCAGCTGTCCCCTGGGGCGGCTCCCTATTCTACCCCACATTCTGCGGCAGACGCATCACTACACCTCTCAGAACTACATGTTTTTCAAGCAGTAAAATGAAACAAGCTGAAACCCCCATCATGTCCCCAGGAGGACAGAGTATGAGAGGAGGCAACAGCAGAATTCTATTCTGTCTCTTGGTAACAAAAGTTTCCAAAAGTTATTGTAAAGGAAACAATTTTCTTCTCTGAGGCCAACTAGCCTAAGAATGCCTGTCTCCTCAGGTAATCCATGGCTGTGTGGAAGCTGTAGTTACTATAAGGACAGTACCCCTAATTTGACAGAAATGATTTTCTCAGTTCTGTCTCATAAATGAAGTCAGCTTTACACAAGCTCCATAAGCTGGGCAGAGAGGAGGGAAGGAGCTGGCACATGTGTAAAAGGCCCACTCTTGGCCTGAAGTCTCATGGGCCTTATATGCAGAGGTGGGCTGGCAAGAGTAGAACAGCTGACTGGGGTGGAGGTGGTGCGGGGAGTCATCTGACTTGTAAGGTTGGCTAATCTCCAGGGGGCAAAGACACCCACTGTGGCCAATCCCAAACTGTGGCTCATGCAATTCTGGAAATTTAAGTCCTCTCTCCCCAGCCAGGTGAGGTGGTTTCAGCACTTGTCTGCATGAAATGACTCCACTGGCCCAGCTCAAAAATGCTCCATGAAGCTAACTGTCTGCGAGGTCAGTTCTGAAGTAATACTTGAGGAAGGGGCATCTGGGGAAACTAGCCCCAAATACCACTGACTTAGCCCTAAGAGCACAAGCACGTGGTTTCAAATGTTAGTGCCACTTCACGAGACTAAGGCTGCAACAGAGAGAAAAGCTTTACATAGATGAACGAGGGCTCAAACCTGCCCACCTTTTACAGATGACAATCAAGTCCCTGGAGGTGGATGGGTGGAGAATTGTAAGATGTTCCTGCTTGTCTGCAATTTGTTTCACTGTTTTTAATTAATTCTAAACCTCTACAGCCTAGTTCACATTAGTGTATTTGTTTGTTGCAATTATTAAATAAGAGACTGGCAACTCCCCATGACTATGCAGGGGTCAAGGTTGAGAGTCTAGTAGGGGGCTGAACGCTTCAATTCTTAGGGAGTCATTAAGTTAAATGTATGATGCAACCTTGCAGTAATACTGATGGGCATGTCTATGAGCCAGGACCCCAATAAAGCCCCCACTTTAGTGATCTTCGTTTATAAGCAAGAAAATGAAGTCAGAGCTAAACAGCTTACCCAAGGTCACAGAGCTGCCTCTTTAGGCATGATGATCAGTGTCACAACAATAAAAACCTTTCATTTAAGTCAGTTATGTGGCACCATGTAATTTAGAAGGCATTTTTTATGCCAAACCTTATGTGACACCTAATACAATGCCAAGCAGGCAGAGTGACCACATTACAGACAAAGAGGCTGAGGCTCTAGTGTGTGAAGGGTCTGGCCTACTGGGCAGAGAATAGATGGCAGGGTCTGGATTTAGACACAAGTTTTTCCAGTCTACTGGAAAAAAGGCCAGTCTTCCAGGCCCTACACCTTTTCCCCTTAGCCACAGCTACCGTCCACCTTCTGGGGTAAGGTGAATCCCTTATGCAAAAAGAGCAAAAGCAAAATCCCATCACATTATTTTACTAGTTCTATAAGTCTTAAAGGTCAATGAGAGAGAAAATTTGCTTGTTCAGGAAACTCAACTGATCAAAACCCTTGAATTTAGCTGATCTGCTAAGTTCCACTCAAAACAAACAGGGACAAAAGGCTTAAATAAATTCTGTACTTAAATACTCACAAAATACAGGTCATTTGGGGGAAAGACTCGGCTCACACATAAAAATGATGGCTAGTTCTTGATATAAAGGGGGATGTATTCACTATGAAAGGGCACTTCCCAGTGGGCTCAAGGACTCAGGGGGAGTCACTCTGGAACACATATTCACACCTTGTCCCCACCGGGAGACAATGGTCTTGAGCCAGAACCTGCCACTTCAGTCAGCCTGAGACTCTGGCCTTTATGTACAGGTAGGTGGGTGAGAGTATCATCCCAAGAAAAATTCAAAATAAACTTACAATTCAAATCCAAAACACATTAAAACACATAAATCCATGACACTTGGGTAAGCAGTTTTAGTCTCTATGATCTGATCTACTGCAAGGGCACTATCAGGTTGTGTTAATTCTTTCTTGCCTTCACAGATGTTTACAGCAGCCCGGAGGAGCTAACACACACTAGACCAGACCACAGCTGCGATGACAGCCCTCCAGTCTGGTATGCAGACTGCAGAGATGGGGGGCAGCCCTGGGAGACAGGATGGTGAGGCTAACGCCGCACGGTCGTCTGGCCAGAGAGCAGGGCCCAGGGCCTGGAGGCCGGAGCCGCACAGACACCTGATTTAGAGCAGACACACTCACATGACAAAGCCACAACTGCTCCAAACCTTGGGGACTCATAGTTTAAAAGTTTCAGTGAGAAGACATAGTTTAAAAGTTTCAGTGAGAAGACAGACAACAGCAAGGCTTAGACCAGAAGTGGTCACTTAACAAAATTTCATATACAATGTGTCGGGATGCAGAACAATGTGGAAGGTAAGAGATCAGACTCAGACATAAACATTAAAATTCCAATGCAGTCATTCACTAGCTGTGAGACCTTGGCGCAGTTACTTAGCATCCCAGAGTCTTCATGCAACAATGGGCCTGGTACTGGGCCTCCCCGGTGGCTCAGCGGTTGAGCGCTGGGTTGCCAAGCTGCCAGCAGCCTCTGCAGCAGCCTCTGCAGCTCTGGCTCAATCCCCGGCTGCTCCCCGGCCACTGGAGCGGGGGTCCCACATGGCGCGCAGACCTCTCCTGCCACCCACTGCTCCCCTCAGCAGTGTACTTCGATCCTTCTGCCTGCTCTGCTCCCAGCTCTGGCTCTGGTCCCTCCCGCGCCTCTGACTGTGCCCAGCGCTGGTATAAATAAATAAATAAATAAATAAATAAATAAATAAATCTTAAAAAAAACAAACAAACAAACAATGGGCCTGGTACAGACTGGGCCATGGAGAGAGGATGTGCTGGGCACACAGCTGGAAGCTGAAGATGAGGCCACATGCACTTGATATTCTGCCTCCCCAAGTAGGTAAGCAGGGCTTCGTTCTGGCTGGCGGTTGTAATGATACTAAACCGAGTGCCACTTCTACAAGGAGCCCTCCTTGGGGTCTCAGAGCACTTTCACCTTTAGGACACCTGGAGCTCTCGTACTTTCACCTTTAGGAAACCTGGAACTCTGGCGTTTCCTATTTTGACAAAGTGCCACCTCCCCAACTCCAGAACCTCTCTCCCGCTCTAAGACCACAGCCAAGCAATTCAAGCTGCATCCACACAGGCCCTGACCTTGAGAAGTAAACAGAGCATGAGCAACGCTCCTGAGGATGCTTCCCTCTGGCATCACAGGCGCCAGCTGCACACACAGGCCCTGGACAGCTGTCACCAGGTGCATTTTTACCAGCAGGTGACTAACAAAGCAATCCCAGCTGGCCTCCAAGTCTCAACGCCTCCCTCTGCATTGCTAAAACATTTCATTCTTTCTTTCTATTCTATCCCACCCAACCTCCTACATTCACTGTTTCATTTCATCTCATTTATTAACTCCTACAAAATGACTGAAATTCCGATCCATCCTCATTGTTTCCCCCGGTACCCGAGCCCAGCGTTCCACGTAATAAGAAGCGTGTGCGCGCACTGGGCACGGGGAGCGAGAACAGCTAAAAGCAGAGCGGACACCACAGCAGCGAGGCGCCCAGACAAGAGCGGGTATCGGGGGCGGCTCCGCGCACCCCGCAAGCTTACCCCCAAGGGCGGAAGGCCTTCCACAATGTTCTTCTTGGCAGAGAGCAGGTCTGACACCGGCCGCTTCTTCAGCGAGTCCCGCCGCGCGCGGTACCGCCCGGACGTGGTGAGGTCGGACTCGGACATGGAGGGCGTCAGCAGCCCGTCTCTGCGGGGCCGCGGTGCGGCGGCCATGGGGGCAGGCCCGGGGTCCCTGGCCCTCCGGTCCGGGTCTGCCACGGGCATCGGGGTCTCGAGAATCTGCAGGGGGCCGGCGAGGGTGGGCCCCGCGCCGCCGGGGTGAGAGGGCAGCGGCGCGTCCTGGGGGTGCCCACCCCGCGCCGGCCCCGGAGGCGGAGCGCGCGCCAGTGGGGCCTGGCCCGGCCCGTCCGCCTCCTCCTCGTCCTCGCTGCTGTGGATCAGCACCGTGGCGTTGGAGAGGGACTTCCTGTGGCCGCCCCTCGGGCTGCCTGGCTCGGCCGCGTCCTCCCGCGGGGCTCTGTCCGCCAAGACGGCCGGCGGGGAGCCGGCGGCCCGCGGGGCCACGTCGGCGGCCGAGGCCGACAGGGTCCTCTCCTTGAGCCGCAGGCCCTCGCAGCTGTGCGCCAGCCCCGCCACCTCGATGCTGTTGCGCTTCTGCAGCTGCGCGTGGCGCGCGGCCGTGAGCGGCTCGCTGACCTCCTGCAGGGAGTGCGCCACGGGCAGGCTGTCCTCCTGGAAGGTCTGCACCGAGTGGTGCACGCGGCGGGTGATGAGGTCCGGGTTGCTGCTGCTGATGTACAGGTGGCGCGACAGGTCCGGGGTGCTGTTGGCCGGCCTCGGGTAGGGGTACGGGGGCGGCGGGCGGTACACCTGGGTCCTCATGATGTTGGGCGCCGGGTACTCCTGGGCCTGCAGCTGCACGTTGGTCAGCTCGGGCACGCTCACGGCCCCCACCACCGGCCGCCGCTCGGCGGGGTAGGGGTAAGGAGACTGGCTGTGGAAGCTGTAGTTGAGGCTGAAGGGGCAGTGGGCCGACTGCGGGGAGGCCAGGTGCGCGTGCTCCCGGATCTCGGGCTGGCTGTAGACCAGCGCGGCCGGCCGGCTGTAGGCGTACGAGTTGCCGATGTTGAGGTTCCTCAGCGAGTGGCTCTGCCGCTCCGCGTGCACCAGGCCTCGGTTGAGCTGCTTCATCACAGTCTCGTAATCCGGGGTCGGCCGGTAGGAGGGGGGGATCAGGGCGCTGTGCCGGTGCGAGGGGATATAGTCCGGCCGCATGACATCGCTCCCGGTAATGCTGGGGTTGGAGGACATGGGCGACGGCTGCAGGTAGGGCTGCGGGTTATTTAAGGAGTTCGTGCTGTGGGCGCTGTAGACGCTGCCGTTCCTGATCCGACCGTTGAGGTCGATCTGGGCTCGATCCAGGCTTGTCTGGGAGTGACAGTAGTAGCCGTTCTGGTTGGTCACAAAGAGGTTGTCTGGGAGGGGAGGGAGAGACATTTAAAATGCATTTAAGGAGACTTTAAAAAAATGGGTTACATTGGATCAATCGCTCCAGCTATACCCTGACAAGCCCTGAACACGGATGACATTTTCAGTGCAGCTGGTGAAAATGCACAGCCTGGCATTCCCCATACCACCTCTGAGTGACCCGGGACCACACATCAAGCCTCGCTTCCTCACCTACAGAAGAGGGCGGCTCTGCCTATGCTAAGAAGGGCGTTCAGGATTTGGCACCCCATAAAGACTAGCCAGATCTAGACCTTCTGGAAGTCTGGGGAACTGTAGGCAGAGATGTTGTTCAAGGCACTGGGCCCCTGACTGCTTTCTCCTCGTGGGCAGGGATGTGGCCCTGCTGATGCTGAGTTAGTTCCAGCATCTACTTAAATGGAAGTGTAGGCTGTTGGTATAGATTCTTCCAGACTGAAGACAGACGGACAGCAGGTCCCGAATTTCTTCAGGTACAACAACGTGACCAGCAGCTGAAGACCTGGTCAGGGCTCAGAAGTCAAGAGGAACCATGCTAAGACAGCACACCCGCCCACGCCCGGGGCCCCGCACTGCAGTGCAGAAGGGGATCCACAGCTAGCAGAGAGAGGGGCTAACCTCACCCACAGGAACTACGTGTGGATACCTAATCAGTGCTAGAAGGAAACAAGTTTCTTCTGTCCAGTCTGTAGCTGACCTGAAACACTGTCACTAATGAGGTTGATTTCTAATACTCAAACGAAAGCGGTAGTGGTCAAGTCTTTCAGGGAACAGTTGCCTCCAAAAAGCACTGATTTTGAGATTCCAAAGCATCACTGATGGTTTAAGCAAACACTGACTATCCAGGTGAATAACCACAGTCTAGTGTAGACTTTATGCTGGGAGAACACCCGCCATAAAGAAATAGGACCCAAACACACCACTGTCTTCTCCCCGTGGATATACAATGCCTCCTTGTCCCCCGGCCTCCCTGTATCTGGAAGACCACGATCTTGGCCTCCGGAGCCCCTCTTTCTTACTACAGGCCCAGCTCCGCCTGTCTGCACTAGCACAACCTCTGCCCACTGTCTCCATCCAGGCTCCTCTCTGCAGCCCACAAACCATCTGGGAGCCTGTATGTGTAAAGACTGTGCTCAGAACTGATGGGGGTTGGGGAGAGAATGTGAGGATGACTATAACGCAGGCAAATAAAGAAAGACATGTACGAAAATCACAGCAGTTCAAGGAAGAAGTGTTACAATTTAAGGAGATAAGTGTTTTGAGAAGTGGAAAGGCTCTCTTCCTGTGTTGATGGGCCAGGGAAGAGAAAATAAGAACCAGCCCACAGAAGCTAAGGTGCTCGAGTGAGCGACACGCCCAGCTCCATCAGCAGCCAGGTCTCCAACTCTGCGAATGGAGGCGCCTCAACTCGCGCTGTCAGGCAGAGCACTGAGCCACTAGAAACATCAAGGGAAAGAGAGCAGATGGCAGAGAGCTGGGTTCCAGCTCCCTTCCTCCCTCCCGCCAACATTTCAGAAGGAAGAGGCACCCCCAGGCCACACCCCTGCGGAAGGCTCACGTGGAACAGAGCCCTCGGGCCAGCGTGCAATGGACAGGTCACCTGAGCAACCAGTGGGCACCTAGAATTGTTCCTTCCCACAGCGCATCCCAGCCCGCCCTGACTGGCCAGAAGCACATGGGCAGCAGGGTCTGTGGACAAGGGCATCTCGGGCAAAGCCGGAGATGGCAGCCAGAGGGCATCCTCAGGCTGGACTGTCAGGTAGCCAGAGGGGAGTGGAAGAACAGCAGGAAGCAAGATTGGGGATGGCTGTGGTGCGCTGACCATGGGCAAGGGAATAACCACGACAGCGACAAGGCGAGCCCGGCAGTGGGGTGTCAGGTGAATCGGGGAGAGAGGAGACTGGCGGTGACAGGTATGGCGATGCGATAGCTGGTGAGATGTTAAAAAATGGAGTGGCTGAATTGAATCAGGAGTAGAGACAGGAAGAAGGGGCTATGGAAGAGCTATCACAGGAAGCTGGAAGCCATAGGATAACTGTAACTGACTGGATGCTGAGGACAAACCAAGAAAAGCCAAATTTGGAAGCCAAAAGTGACTTCATCGTAAAGATGAAGTGGGGAATGCGGGGAAACGACAGGCCTGTGCAGCAGAGTGACGAGATCTAGTTTAATCCTCAGCAAGCTGTAAGCATTGATGATAGTGGCTGAGTGGTGACCCTGGGCCAGGTACGGGGGTGCAGGTGTCCCAAGCAGGAGCTCCCATAACTGACTTCTCAAGACGAAAACGTGGGCTTGAAGCACGGGGGTGACGATGTGGTGGGAAACACAGACTTGACAGTCATCTTTGCAGAACTTGACATGTGGGTGCGGCCGTGTGGAAGCTTGCAGAAGGAGAGGAGGCCACAGATGCCGGCGAGCAAACCACACTATCGTGGGGGGGCAGGAGGGAAGCCAGTGCACTGGTACAAGAGCTGTCTGCAGGGAGGAGAGACGCTAGAGTGTGAGCTGAGGAGGTGAGGTGGCTCATGGGCTGTGAGGGGGCAGCGTGGGTGGGGCAGCAAAGGCAGAGGAGTAAACAGCAAGCAACAGAAGCAGCGGCACATGTCTCCCTCTCAGAGTGGGGTGAAGAGGGAAAGGAAAAAACATTCAAAATGTATTTTGAAGGAAAAGGAGAGGGAAAATGTTAGTTTGTTTGTCAACCAACAAAGAGGAAGGAGGAACAAGGAAGCCCTCATAGAGGAAAGTAGAGAGACTTTCTCCAGAAGTGAGAGGGGCTGGGGGGCCAGCAAGTGCCAGCAGAGTGCCGGGAGAAGAGATGGGTGAAGAGGTAGAAACACCCCAAGGTGGAGACTCTCAGAAGCCACGCCCCAAAGCACTGCTCACCTCCACCAGGAAATTCTCACCTCAACAAGGCCCTGCACCCCCACCTTTGCTCCACTATGAATCACCCCTCCAGTTCCCTATGAGAGAGTCTAATAGACCCACTCACCTCTCCCGGAACCTCCACCATTCTGTGCCATGGCATTCACTGTCCCGAAAGAGCAGGGGCAGCAAACCCAGCCAATGACCGCCTCCCTCTACCTGTCACAATCAACCCACCTTTCGCGATCCAGAATGCCCTCTCCATTCTCCCCACTTGAAGAATGAGGGGGGAAGACACAGGACACAGGAACCTGTTCGAAGGAGCTCCCATGGGCCACATCGGGCATCTTACATGTCTAGGAAACTGAATCTACTGATAGTTTCTTCTGTGAACCCGGAATAGTTATAATCATGACAAGAACTTTGGATGTAACATTAGGCAAAACCTATTTTATTTATTTATTCAAATTGTAATAGTTTTGTGAGCCATCTCAGAAAGAGTGCACTTTACCTTGGGAGGAAGTGTAGGGTTCTGTGTAATGTCCATTATAATGCAGCTGGGGTGGGGCAGGCATCACGTAAGGCTGTGGTTTAGGCTGTGAAGAGGAAGGTTGGACAGGGGGTTAACACATCTCCTCTGCAAGAAATGTAAAGTCAGTCTCCGCTTCAAACACTTCGGAAGGTGTTCTACTACACGTGCAAATACACAGGAAGGCCCTGCAGCTCTCACTGGCTCTGTCCTTTTCACTGTCCCCCAGAATGATGATGCTAAGCCCCTGTGCACCAATATCGGACCTCAGGAGTAAGCACAACAAACTGTATCCAAAAGGTTAAGACAAGGAAGAGACAAATTTCTGGAATTCTTGTATAAACATTCGAGTATAAGAAGCTTTCATGTAGTGTATTCAATCTTACTGGATTAAATCACGTAATATTTTAAATAGCTCTTAACTTCTCTTTACTCTTGGCTAATCACCCAAGTTTTTATATTAGATTGGACTTCATATTTAAAAGATGTTGATATAATAGATATTAGATGTAAACTTGAATTTTAGGACTGAACTATGGACAACTGCCATTTCTTTGATTGAAAATATCAAATGTCAGCACACTTTTGTAGTTCAAACTAAAAGTTTACACTACCAAAAGTATATTTTATTAAGGAAGATGGCATCACTGAAAGAAAAAAAGCAAATGTATTTTCTCCTTCTGTCTCACCAGAGACATCCTCGAAGAAGACCTCCTCCTGATCAGGTTCAGCGTGACGGCCTGAGTTTGCCTGTGAAACAAGCGCATATATACATATGTTTACATTCTCCTTGCTCTGTCTCTCGCTTCCTGATACTGCCAAAATAAGTAAGGTAAAGTAACAAATCCTCAAATGTAAAAAAAAAAAATTAACTCACTCACATACTCAAAACAAGGAGGCTGTCTGCTTTACTTGGGGGCCTGGCCCTTTTCTGCTGCCCAACCCCTCAGACCACATCCCTCCAGGAACACCAAAAACCGGGACTAGCATGGGGCAGCGGGAACATCTTTCCCTGGTTCATCGAGGTAAAACCTCTGGAGTGACCATAGCAGAGGGAAGAGGGACAGCTAGACCACCCACAAACTCATCCCAGGGGAAGCAAGATTCAATGCAGAGGCCTCTCTGGGGGAGTAGAGGTCAAGTTGCAGTGCTTTTGGCAACCACTGTAGCATGAGTTCAATCCCTGGCCAGGGAGCTGACCCACATGGCGCAGCAGACCTATCCTGTCTCGCCTGCTGCTCCCCTCAGCAGTGTATATCAGTAGATCTGCCTGCTCTGCTCCCTACTCTATCTCTGGTGAATCCTCTCACCAACCCCCCCAAACCTCTGGCCTATACCCCAGTTCTTCTATGCAAAAATAAAATTTAAAAATCCATTAAAAAATATTTTTTGACCTTTGGTTATAATGTTCTAAGATCTAATTACTAAAAGAAATCCATAATCACAAAGTGAACACATGATCCAGTTAATCATAAAATCTACCATAATTATCAAGTCTCACATCTCATAAATTAGCATTCTTCTGAGCACTCTAACAACTAATACTTTATACTCAAACTCTAAATACTAGTTTATTTTCACAAGACCTTTGAGATAAAACTATATTTCCTAGGAACTTGACATCAGGAGACTACAATTGCTTTTATAAGTTAACTTTTTAAATTAAATGCTTCAATCATTTCATTTCATTCTCACTGGAATAAATTAAGGTTGTTGATAAAGAATATATATCTCTTTGCCAACAGCTGCTCCATTCTGCCAGTATTTGTTAGCCAATGACAATAAAATGGAGGTTAATTCTATTCAGTTGCAAAAATACCTGAATCAAAGGCCCAGCACTCAGATCCCTGGGGCCTCCTTAGTGAAACAAGTCAGGATGGGGTATCTAGGCTTTTTCTTTTTTACAATCCTACATGTTACTCTATTCCTTAAAATCAGTGTCCAGAATAGGGCAGATGCCACATTTTTTACTTTGCCTTTGCTTATTCTCCATTGCCAGGGCCAGGAGTAGTAGGCCAGCTGTGGGTCCTTTGAAGTTTATATTTAGACCATCAGAGACTCACTGTCTGAATGGACTGTACTATTAAAGTACTGTAAACTCAAAATTCAGGAATGGGGAGAAAGGGCTGCTGAGAGAGTCCTCCAACAACATGCCCAGAGTTGCCCAGCCTGCAGCAAAAATAAAACTGGAGTGTGTCAAACAGCAGCTCCAAGGACGCTGAGGCCACGGCAATAACCCCATGCCAGCTCCACTTTGGCAGCACCCCAAGGGAGGCCACACCACACACAGCAAGCAGGGGCTGCTTCCTGCTAAACATAAACCATGGTGGTCTCCACCTGCCAGACCCCACTGCAGGCAGCCGGGCCCCGAGGCCAGTCTTCAGACAGCCTCCCTGTTCTCATAACACAATTTACTGTGAGATGAGTGATCCCAAAGGTACACACAGGGGGAAAGGGTGTGAATGGTGGTTGTATTTTCCAGAATTCAGGGACCGTCACTATGCTGATGGGTGCTAAGAATAAGACAGATAAAGAATTTTTAGAGGGGGAAAAACCTGGAATTTGAACCCTGAAGAAGACAGAATAAAAATGATGTTACTGACTGAAACAGTGCTACGGGAGCTATAGGTAGTTACCTCATGGAATCCAAACACCAGCCCCATAAAAGAGGCTGGTAATTATCCTGATTTTACAGATGAAGAAAGTGATACTTAGATTAAGTAAATTGCTCCTGGTCACATGGGAGATAAGTAGCAGAACTGGCATTTGAACCAGGCAGGTCTGGTTCCTGAGCTCAGATTCCTAATTGACTACTTGTCTGATCCCCTCCCCAACCCCTGACCACAAATGATTTGCAAGCGCCATGGAAGCAGGAGGACACCACGGATCCCTGTGCCTGGCACACAGGGAACTAACTCCCCAGTGCTGAACAAATGAATGGCACAGTGAGTGGGCACTGGAGTCGATGTTTATTACTAAACATTCACGGTTGAGTTCATTTTTCTAAGAGTGTACTTAATTTTGCTTTGTGAGCTTCCTTTCTTACATATTAATGGCAAGCAAAGGGAAATGAGATTTTGATGAACAGGAAATGTGCTGGATGGTGGAAATGCCTAGAAAACACTGGTCTCGGGACTTTCTTCTAATGGACTAGGAGTTACTCTACCTCCTTCCAGGCCTCCTAAGTTTCTTCAAACCCTGGGGAAGGCCTAGAAGATGGGGCAGTCTCATTGGCTTCCAGGTAGGGCCAACTCAGTCAGTGCCCTGACCACACAAGGCTCCAGAATGGACAACGCAGCTGCATTCACTGAGAGGCCTGAACTGCAGGGAGCTCACACCAGCGTCCCGCTGTGCTCAGCACGCACCTGCTAATGGTCCCACTTCCCCTCAAGAGAAAGTCTGCAGAAACCCAGCACTTGGCTCTGCAAGTTGGGGGACAGCATGTTTCCCTTCCCCACACAGAGAGGAGAAAAAGGCTCCCGCATCAAGAGCCCTCTTGAGATCCCTTGTCTCTCCCAGTCTCTTTTCATATAGATGATGGAGGTTAATTATAGGATGCTGGTCAGGGCTTGGGCTGGGGAGAAGGGATTGAAAGAAAATTTTTGGCAGATGGGCATTTTCTTATTTTTCTCACTTACTTCCTAATTCAACCGTAAAGGAATGCTACATAAAGGCCTCATTATCCCCATTTTATAAATTTAAAAGGAAAGAAAGATTGTTGTTATCTAACATTTGTGATATCTAACATTGGATGACGCCAAAAAATGATTGCCACCTAAAGACTCTTGTTTGGAGGACAGGGCAGCGAGATGGATGGATCATGTCATTGTATAAATTCAAGTCCATCGTCATCTGCATCAGGGCCACGTAAGTCACATAAGGTCATCCAAACACCTCTGTATTATATACTGGGACTGAGGGGCAGGGCAGGGGGATGATCCAGGAGTAAAGCCCACCTTTCTATGCTCAGAGAACCCATCTCCTGAGCCAGAGGCAGCCTCAGCCCCAACCAGAACTCACCATCCAGTCCCAGGCCTGCAGCAATTTCCAACTTGGACCATGAGAGCAAGTCTCTCAATACTTTAGAATCATTGTAATATTAAGTGTGACTCAACAGTCTAAGTTGAGAGCTTTAAAAGCAATGAATATAAAAATTAAAGGTTACTTTTAGTTCTACTGCCCATCAAAATACTGAAAGCTAAGAATTTATTTTACCTGGTGGATAAGTGCTCACATGAAATAAATTTATTTACCATAGAGTGAAGTGGGTTGTCAACCATCATGAGTAATTACATAAGAATCATTCATGGAAAGGAACTTCCATAATCCACTTCATATAGATTACAAGAGATCATAAACAAAATGTGGAAAATAGCTCCTTAAACATAACTATTTCATTTTAACAAACATGCATATTTTCCTTATACAGATGGAAATAATATAGGAAAACGAAAGACCATATTAATGGGGTTTACTTATATTTGGTAATGAACAGCAATAATAAAAAATTTAAATCTTTAAGACTGGATTTGCTATTTCTTTTCCCTCTGAAATTTAAAATCATTATCAGGTAGTGATCTGCCAAAAAAAAAAACAAAAACAAAAACAAAAAAACTCTCTGAACTAAGGACATTAATCACCAACCAATATGGACACCTATCGGAAAGGGATTATAGCTTAGAGTTTATCAAACCAATTGATTATTCCTATTTTCCAGAAAAGGATTGAACTAAGGTAAAGATGGCTCAATATTGTAAGTATTCTTAAACTTATGTAAGGTTATATTCCAATAAGCTGGAACTATCTATTGTTCCCATCTTAGAACAGATTTCTGCATTAAAATAACCTCACACACCGCTAAGTAACCTGGCCAGCCCAGGGAACAGCAACGAACAGTCCTGGACTCGCAGCAACACTCACTCTGGCCAGCAGGGGGCGCACCTTCATATACAAATCTATGCAGAAGTTCTGGGAAGCTGAAAGGCCTTCCCACATTCAGTAAGTAAGTAGGGTTGCTCCTCCCTGTCAGTCAGTGCTTTCCAAAATCCCACCATGGGTCCATCAGGGGTGATCTGTTAAAACCCTGCTTTGTGGGGGGGGACACAGGGAGGAGAGGTGCACTGGGGCCTGAAGGGCAGACCTCAGTGCTCCTAAGTGGGTCTCCTTGGTCATTTCCTTTCCTTTTCTTTCCTGTGTCCCAAAGATGGGCATGCCTCCTTTTTTTGCCATGCTGCTGCTGACCAGTTTTTCTTCACATCCTGGGTGTAAAAGAGAAAGCGCGTTCACAGCCATTCCTCTTCTTCCCTTGCCCTAAGAGACAAAGTCCTTCAAGATTGCTTTCCCATTACAAAAGGATCTGCTCCCCTAGGACTCCCATCACTCACGAGGTCTTTTTACTTCCACACACACCAGAAGGCAGTTGGACAAGAGAAGAACCTGCCCTTGTGGAGTTCCATTGGGTAAGACAGACAAATCAAATCCACAGCAGGCAGCAGGTCTGCTACCCTAACCGGCCAGAATAGTGGCTGAGAGAATAGACCCTGGTATCCAGGGCCCAGCTGTCCAGCAGGGGCACAGCACCTCACTTCCTGGAGTCTCTACACATTCCTCTATAAAGGACAGTGACATCCCCACTCAGCCAGGCAGAGAAGGGGAGGAGGCTTCCCAGCAAAGGCCCTGAGCATTGAGGGGCAGTAGCTCTGGAAGGACTGATGGGTTCCGAGAGTCAGCATCAAGGGGCCTAGGAGGATCTCAGAAGTCTGCCCCAATCCCTTTTGGCACTGCACTATAACTCTGAAGGCTACATATTCTGTTCATCCTGAAGACTGGCTGGAAAGAGGTAAGTTGGGGAGGTGAGGCCAGATGGGGAGCAGCTGCAATAGGCCAGAGGAGAGAGGACAGCTTAAAGCACAGTTATGGGGAGGGAGTGAAACTAAATTTCGGTTTAAATGTCATTTTGTTGGAAAACCTTTCCTAACGTGGCAGTGCCAGCTGGCACTAGGTTGTTAGTTGAGGAGGTGGTAAAAATGATCATATTTCAGACATTTTAAAGGCAGAGCTGGCTGAACTGGATGTGGCATGAAAGAGAAACAGGAATCAAGTGGGACTTCCAGGCTTGGAGTCTGGAGAACTGGGTGAATATGGTGTGCTGCTATTTATAGAACAGGGAAAAGGTAGGGAAAACAGGTTCAGGAAAGAGGAACAGCAAATCAAGAATTTGGTTTTATACATACCAAATTAAAGATGCCTCTTAGGCACCCAAGTGGAGATATCAAGTAGGCAGTAGGATGTGTGGGGGTAAGACAAGACTAGAATTCAAGTTTGAGGCATGTGCAGCGTACACACGCTATTTTTAAGCCTAAGACCAGGTCAGTGGCCTAGAGCATGAGTGTAGCTGGAGAGGACGATTAGCCAATAAAGGCAACTGATAAGAAACAGCCTAGAAAGGGGAAAAGCAGGAGAGAGGGTGTCTTGGCAGCCAGAGAGGAGCAGGGTGCCTAGGGGTAGGTCAGAGGTTAAGTGTAAGAACAGTCACCATGAGGGCAGCTGTCACTGGGAGAAACAGGGCCAGTAGTGTGGCCGCTTAAGTGAAACAGGGTGGAAGGAAGGAGAGAAAGAAAGTCTATCGAACTCTTTTCGAGAAACCCGGTCTAAAGGAGAGTTAGTGGGCACAGGGAAAGGAAGGAAGTGTTTTAAAATGTGAAATATCGGGCCTCCCCTGGTGGCGCAGGCGGTTGAGTGCCACGCTGTAACACTGTCCGCAGCCTCTGCAGCGCCGGTTCGATCCCAGCTGGCCAGTGAGGTTCCTAAATGGCGAGCAGACCTCTCCTATCATGCCCACTGCTCCCCTCAGCAGTGTATTTCGTTACTCTGCCTGTTCTGTTCCCCACTCTCTCTCTGGTGAGTCCTCTCACCCTCCCATACATCTGGCCTGTATCCCAGTTCTTGTATAAATACATAAATAAATCTTTAAAAAAATAATAAAATAAAATGTGAAATATCACAGCACATTTGTATATCGGTGGGGATGATCCAGCAGAGAGGGGGCTAAGAAAAATGTACGCTAGGAAAACAGGCATAAATGCTTCAAATGACTTGAAAAGCTGAGCACTCTTTATTCAAAATGCTGACCAGGTCATTGATTAAAAAATAATAAGGGACATTCTCTTTTTAACTTTCAAGAATTAGAATAATTCTAGCAATTAGTTGAAAAAAATCTTAGAGGCATATCTATAGTTACTAGAAGTTGATTCAAAAATTAATGGAAAAGGCTAAGAAATGTCATTTTAACATGCAACAAAAGCAAAGATTATTATGAAAGTGTCATGAAAATGACTATTTAAACAACATTTACATTTCTAGATGACACACTATAAGCACAAGATAAAAACTGCTAAACCCGTCATTTTCTACAATCACCGTGAGCAGGAGGTACTTACAGGCTACATTGATTCAGTCTGTAAAATTTGTGTCGTGCCACACACAGTCTCCACACATATTTCGCCGTTTCCATGTCTTCCTAGCAAACGAAATATGCACAAAGTAAGTGGAAGCACACCTACAACTCAACACTTCCAGTGACGAGCTTGAGGACAAGATAGAGTCGGCTCATAAATTATGTCGGAGGAATATTTCATTGTGATTCTTCAGCTTTCTAATACTATGCCCATTGGGCAAGTGCTGTAATTGGGATTTAAGATATAAAGACAAAAAAAACTAACAGTGTGATTCCCAAAGCTTCCAATGACAAAAATTAAAAAATTTGAAAACAACAACTTTTATTATGGACAAAAACTCAAAGACATTTTAAAATAAGACAGTTGACTCAGTGACTCAATACTGTCTCTGCGAAGAGCAAAAACTAACTGAAATGTGAGTTCTACAGAGCCAGTCCTCCTTAATAGAAATTAAGGAACCCAGTGCTGACACGTCCCCAGAGATCATCGTGATCAAACAGCACTTAACCAAGGACTCATTTGGTCATTTAAATTATTTACTGAGGGCCTCCCCGGTGGCGCAGCGGTTGAGCGCTGGGTTGCGAAGCTGCCCGCGGCCTCTGCGGCGCCGGTTCGATCCCCGGCTGCTCCCCGGCCACCGGAGGAGGATCCCACATGGTGCGCAGACCTCTCCTGCCACCCGCTGCTCCCCTCAGCAGTGTACTTCAGCCCTTCTGCCTGCTCTGCTCCCCGCTCTGGCTCTGGTGAATTCTCTCACCCTCCCGCGCTTCTGACTGTGCCCAGTGCATGTATAAACAAGACAAACAAATATAATAAATAAATAAATAAAAACATGCCTCTATAAAAAAAAAAAAAAAAAAAAAAAATTATTTACTGAGGGGTCTCCCTGGTGGCACAAGGGGTTAAGACGCAGCCTGTGAAACTGTCTGCAGCCTCTGCAGTGCGAGTTCGATCCCCAGCCAGGGAGCTACCCATACAGCGCGGCAGACCTCTCCTGACTCGCCTGCTACTACCCTCAGCAGTGTATTTCAGTCAGTCTGCCTGTTCTGCTCCCCACTCTGTCTCTGGTGAATCCTCTCACCACCCACACCTCTGGCCTATACTCCAGCTCTTGTATGCATAAATAAAAAAATAAATAAATCTTAAAAAAAAAGAAGCTGTGAATAGCTTCTTTAAAAATTAATAAACAGAATTATTTATTGAGCAACCACTTTTGGCCAAGTGCTATTGTGCAAAATGATATAAAATATTAAATTTTCAGTTTAACGAGCTATAAACTATTACTGTTTGAATGCCACCCACTCCCAACACACTCACACACACATGGGAAGGATCCCATGGGAGAAAAGCCTTCCATGCAGATTCCTAGTGTCTACTCACAGTTTGAAACTGGATGGTCTCTTCTTTACTCGCCAGCTCTAGTGCAAGAAAGCACTTGTTGTGGGACATGTTGGCGATGTCGTGCCACCTGGTGAAGAGCAGGGGAAAGGAGGAGGGGGTGAGTGCTCCCCTTTACACAAGGGGCCGCACACACCATTTTTTCACCTTGAGCTGATGCACGATATTATTTAATCGTTTTAGAGCAAAAATGGCAGTTTCAGTATCTATTTTATTCTAGAAGGGGCATACTTCCATTCCCTAATGAGATCACTGGCAAGACTTACAAGTACCCAATACAACTAGAACAGGTGCTAAAAAATATCGCCAGCCAGAGCGTGAGACAGTACACAGGAAGACATGAGGGAAATACCTAAATATCACAGGAGGCCTTCCATTCTTGTGTTTCACAAAGATCCCTTCCAGACATGCCCCAATGGATATGTCACTGCCTTGGCTATCCTAAAGGAGGAAGCAGAGAGGCATAAGCGCAGTACAGCAACAGCCACCCCCTCCCCCATTCCCTCGCATTTCCCAGATATCAGACACTGCAAAGACCTACAGGTTAACTGTGCCAAGGGGCAAGTCTGTACACATGTCTGTACATATGAAAGCAGAGTTGGGCTCCCTAAGAAGCTATATTTAATGTATTTGTGGAACAATCTGCAAAACAGGAATATGTTTTTTACTACAAAATTCTGGTCACAAGGACTATAGCTTTTAAGTTTCCAGACACTGGCACCTCTTCAGCTTCTGCATCCAGGGCCTCCCCACTGTTCTCTAGGAAGCACCAGGGCCCGTGCAGGAGCCCGGCCTCTGTGGTGCGCCCACCTTGGCAGGGTAGCTCTCCTCGCCATAGCCATCCATGCGCTCCACCTCCTGCATGTACAGCATCTCAGCGTCAGGAGCGGCGAGCCCTCTGCAACCAAAAGATGTTGGTGAGACTGTTCATAAAATTAACAAGAAATAGCTCTTGTAAAAACCCATATTATCAATTTGCCATGAGACATTATAAGCATTTCAACTTCTATCGCCCACAATTAGTCATATCAATCCATCAGTATTTTCTGAAAATCAGCTGCAGGCAAGCACTGTGCTGAACACTGAAGGCTGGTTATATAAGATCCTATCCCTGCACCTCAGTCAGGCAAGGGGGCCGTGGGGAATAAAACAATCCCTCAAAAATCTTCAGTGTAAGTTAGGATTCCTTCTGAACTACCAAGTAACTGCTTTTGTTTTTTTTTTTTTTTTTTTTTTTTTTTTTGCAAAATATCAGGCAATACCAAGCATCATGTGGTGACTGTCAAATGACAAGGGCAGGAGATAGGGGCTAGAAGAGGGACATCACTCTGCTCGCTGGCGAGGGAATTATAAGGAAGGGTGAGAAGGTCCTGTAGGGAAGCAGGTGCTCAACCCACATAGAGACCTGCCTCTCAGCCTCACCCCCACTACCCCACCCTGGATGCCCCCACACTGCAGTCATTCTAAACTCTACCTACCCTCCTACCTGTGGGCCTATGCAGATGCCAATCTGCACAGACCTGTCACCCACCTGTGTACCTGGCCAGTCCCAATCCTCCCTTTAGACTCGGCCTATGTCTGACGCATCCTTCATTACTATCTGTGATCCCCAAGTCTGCCAGATGCCCCTGCTCTTTGCAGATGCACCACATTCTGTACATTCCCCTCCTGCACCATACTGTGCGATCCGATCGTGTCGTGCTTTTGGGCTGTCCTGCCTACCCCTTAGGCTGCAAGGCAGGGAGTGCGCTCTTACTGCTTTGTTTATCCCTGTGCCACAGCGCCCAGAGCTCTGCTTGTGCAGAGCAATGGCACGAAACCATCCTTTAAGGAGATGCACAAACGAAGGAATGAAAGTACCAGACACAGGTCAGTGTGTCTAAGGGTTAATTATGCTGGAAAAATAATGGTTCATTTGGAATAAGGGAAGACAAAGCTGGAAAGGCAGGACTTAACCAATTTGTGGTAGCCTTTAATCCCAGGGGTAATAATGGAACTCAGGCTGGTAGAGAACAAGGAAAGAATCATGAGCATCTGAGAAGGCCAAGGGGAGGTAATTTTAGGAAGAATAATCTTCTGTGAGCAATTGTATGGATTTCAGTGGGCACAGGCAAAAGAAAGGCAAATGGTTACTTTTGATGGAGGGGTGGGGGTGGTGAATAACTGTTTACAATTAGAAGGCCTGGGTTCAAATGCCACCTCCACAAGGCATAATTTGAACAAGTTAGTCTTTTTGAAACTGGCAATAACATTTACCTTAAAGAGTGGTTATAAGAACTTAATGATATATAAAATTCTTGGAACTATTCAGCTTAATAAGACCTCGCATTCTCTAGGACAGGATCTTTCTTACAGACAACACATACAGATTTCACCATCAAAGAAAGTCAACACCCACCAGAACCCGGAGGTGTGCAGAAGCAGGGCCAGGGGCAACGTGGCTCTCAGCACAGCCTTCCCAGGGCAGAGGTATAGCTCCAGAGGTGCGGGGGGAGTGGGGAGAAGCGCTGTACTAGCTAGACCATGAAAGCAAACACATCTCCCTAGTCTTGCATTAACCTACACAGGGTTAGGCTGTCACCAAAATCTCTACAATGTGGGGTGAGGAACGGGCACCCTTCAATGGCTGGCTGTTTTCAACTTTCCCATTGGAAACATGGACACTAAATGAGTGGACCTGGGTGGGTGCTCAGGACCACATCTGGCACACAGTGAGTGCTGGGTAAATGTCAGCTGCCCAGCTAGGTTCCGATTCTAATTCTGTCCGTGCATATTTCAAACTCAGACAGACAGAAGTTCTGTACTATTTCCATTTCTTATTTCTTAGCATTACCTGTATTTCTGATGAAGTAAGGCCACCTTTTGGGTTGCTTCTTCCAATACTTTTTCATCTTGTAGCCACCCCTGAAGAGAGAACACCACAGTCAGTGAACAAGTCACCACATCTCTTAGGAAGACTCGTCGCTACTGCCTGTTACTGATGCTTGTCACTATCAGACAAACTTGGCACTAGTGTTCACAGGTGGTAGCTTTGCTTCAACAGTAATCACTATCTTTCCAAGGAACTGAGGGTGTCTGCTAGGGGCCAAAACAACTCATTCAGGTGGGTAATGTCAACCAGCCAGTTCTGAGTCCAGTACCCCATGGACTGGTAGACACGCGGAGGAAGGGCAAACCAGTTCCCTTAGCGGTCACTGTCAACTTCTTCAGTAGAGACTTTAAGGGGAAGGTCATGTCTTATTTCAACTACTTTCTTAGTTGCTAATGAGAAGTCAATTCATTTCAACATAAGTTTGCAAGGTTGCAAACCTTTAATTAAAAGCAAAACCTCAGCCTGGTTCCTCAGAAGGTAGAATTGACTCCTTCTCTTCAGATTCAAATCCAGACACAAAACCCACTTTCCTTGGCATAGCCCTAGGACATGGACCCTTCCATTTCTGTGGATTCATGAAGGGCCAAGAAGATAAAGACTTGTGTATACTTGAATCGTACAGAAGGTAGAATTGATTTTTTACCACTATCCTACCAAGTCTACCTCGTGGGCTTCATGTCAGGGATGGTTAAGGGCACAGGTATAAACGGTTAACAAAAAAGATGCAACATCAAAAGAAGTCTTACCACAGGAAATAAGGCAAATTTCTGAAGAAAGTCCTGGGATTCATACTGGTCAAAGTCACCAAAATCAGCTATAAATAAGTATTCATATTGATTACGTTTAATTTGCGTAACAAAACACACATACAACTAAATTCAAACATACAGTATATAAATGGAGTATTTGTGATTCAGAAGTCATAATTGCCTTACAATTATAATGTTTTTTAAAATATCTTTAAAAACATGAATTAAGTAATTTGTGTATCTTATCAATCCTATGAATAGAGTAAAAAAGCAACTTGCAAACTATATAATATGATCTCATTTTATAATTAAAAAACAAACAAAACCTGCCCTGTGATAATGTATTCTTACATAGGCACAGGAAAATGTCAGGAAGAAATCCAACTATTCACAATAGTGTTTACCTCTAGGGAATCAGATAATTTGACTATGTCACTGCAAGATGTATTTGTTTTGAAATCTTAAATTATTAAAAAAATTAATAGTTAAGCAATAAATTTATGAAAAATAAGCACTTAAAGTCAAAGATGACACTTAAGAGGATTCAAAATACTTGGAAAAGAAATGTGGTTCCATGTGCATACAGGCATTTGTCTAGAAGTGCTATGTGTCTCATGGCTGCTAATATGTGAAGGAAATTTATTCAATAATCCTTCTGATTAAATTATAATTTCAAGATTCTATTTCAGTTATCATTTGAAAGAATGCCCCGTCAGAAGTCATCCCAAAGTGCATATGTAAGTACATATACATGTAGTGCATGTATAGAGACATGAAAAATGACAATTTGAAACTACTTGTGAAATCCAACATGTTATCTATTAGGATTAATGATGCTAAAACTGCACCGTGGAGGGTGAGGTATGGTATGATAACACATCGAAAGACACATGACCCTATACCTCTGAATCATATACAGTGTTGTATCCAACGTTACCATGATAAAAAATAAAATGAAAAATAAGAAACCCAGCAAATGATGTATGCTTAAAATATCAGTTAACATAACCTCACCGACCTCAATATTTGGCTGACCTTTCTAACACAGTGGCTAGCCAAAGATCAAATCCTTGAACTAGAAGAATACATAGAATGTTCAATGCTCTGTGTGTGTGTGTGTTTTCCCCAGTTTTGGACTGTTTGTTCTGATGATATATGATTACATGTTTAGCCTTCTAGAAACCTTATATTTCACTGAAGTAATCCAAATATTTTTCCCATAGGAAGTTCTGTGGATAACAATAATATTTCATTAATATCTAAAGATTACTATAGTAAGTCAGTAACTTTAAAGATACTTTGTTGTTTTGGTTATAACACACATCTTAATCTGATCTATTACATTATCAGTTGCCATTTATTTACCTTGAACAGCTAAGCCTGCTAGGTGTATTGCTTGTTCTAATGTACAAGGAATGTTTCCTTCCAAGATATCTTTCTTCAGTTGCAGATAATACTGATACCTGTAAAAAATGTCAACTTAAAAATGTCATTATCAATATTACCTCCAGTTGAGACATAATGCATTTATCAAAATTTGGCAGAAGACCAGAAGTTAAGTTAAATACAATCTGAACCTCAGAGGATTTCAGAGAATGGCAAGAATGTCCTTGACCATATCTACATCTACACACGCCTACACATGCCTGTACATACACACACACACACATTTTTTTTAAACACTACAACCTGATCAATTTACTGAGGTACTTATCCCTGACTATAGTTATTTCAAAGTCAAAACCATCTAGAAGACAATCGATCCTTTGTCTTATGCCCTATTTTATTCTTTCAGTTGGAGAAATGAAGAATCAACAGCCAATCTTTAAAACACCTACTTAGTAACTTGGCAATACAAAGCTGCTTACTCTAGTGGGAGTTCCCTACCGCTGGGAAGTAGTCAGAAGAAAATCATTCCTGATATTTCAGACCAGGCTTATATTAAAGTATTTGTTGATGAAATTCCAAAAGGAATAGGTCCTATTTTTTTTTTTTAACATTCTGTAATGTTAAAAAGGCATTAGTTACCAGTACAGGTTTTAGTGGGGCAGACCTAGGTAAAACTCTTGCTTTCCATTTTAGCATTGTGCGTGACCTTGGGCAGGTCATCATAATTGATAGGTTTAAATTATCACCAGAAAAATGAGAGTACTCTCACCTCTCACAAGATTGAACATACTCAAAGAATATATATTAAAAGCTCTCAGCACAATCCTGGATCACAGCATTCAATTATTCGGTAAACAGAGCTATTATTATCAGCAATCACATACTTTAAGCCAATCAATGGTGCCTTTGTATCACTGCTCCATTCTGATAAAGCTCACAGTGAAGATTTATTACTGCCTTTCTTGTATTCACTCAACAGGCAACCATGAGGGCCTCCTAGGGGTTAAGCATTGTTCAAGATGCTGGGGATATGGCACTGAATGAAGATTGACCAATACATTCTACAGAACCACCTCAAATCCAGAATCTCTTCCAGGTTTGGTGTCCAAAGTGCATCCAGTTACTGTTTATATTGGAATTCCCCCAGGAGTCTACCTCTTTGCTTGTTTGTGTTCTTACATCACCGTTTTCTATTTTAGCTTGCTTTCAGGCCTCCATCCTTTGTTACCATAGAAGCTTGCCAAAACACCACCGAATCGATTAAGAATTTAGATCCAGGGCCTCCCCTGGTGGTGCAGCGGTTGAGCGTTGGGCTGTGAAGCTGCCCATGGCCTCTGCAGCGCTGGTTTGATCCCCGGCCACCGGCGAGGGTCGCACATGGCGCGCAGACCTCTCCTGCCGCCTGCTGCTCCCCCCATCAGTGTACTTCATCAGTCTGCCTAGTCTGTTCCCTGCTCTGACTCTGGTGAATTCTCTCACTCTTCCGCGCTTCTGACTGTACCCAGTGCTTGTATAAATAAATAAATAAATAAACAAACAAACAAACAAATAAATAAATTAAAAAAATAAAAAAGAATTTAGATCCAACTTCCTTCTACCCACTAGGAGCAGAACTACAGTTTTCCCTCCATCACTATACAGAATGGAAGTAGCACTGGGAACTTGTCAAAGAGAAAAATTTGAAACTTTCTACTCAGCAGTTCCTTTTTCTCTTGGAAGAAAATTGTTCACTTGGAGATAGCAATCTACTGAATGTACTGTCCACAAATTCTAAATAGTCTACATTCTCTTCTTCAATCAGATAAAAATCACTGGAAAGCCACATACACAAACCACATTAACTTAGCCTTTCACAGAAATATTCTATTTCATTATATTCTACTTTTACTATTATAGAGCTGATTCTTCATTTATTCTAAATTCACTGCTGGTTCAACATCTTTTCCAAAAAAATTCTACCTTGATTTGATACCAGGTAAATGTGTCATGCCTGCAGGCTGGCATGCTCCTTTTTATCAGGTAAAGAATGATGGGGGGGCCCCTCCCCTGGTGGCAGTGGTTGAGTGCTGGGCTGCAAAGCTGCCCACAGCTTCTGCAGCGCCGGTTCGATCCCCAGCCACCGAAGAGGGTCCCACATGGTGTGCAGACCTCTCCTGCTGCCCACTGCTCCCCTCAGCAGTGTATTTCATCAGTCTGGCTGTTCTGCTCCCCGCTCTGGCTCTGGTGAATTCTCTCACCCTCCCCCTCTTCTGACTGTACCCAGAGCTTGTATAAATAAATAAATCTTTAAAAAAAAAAAAAGAATGATGGGGGGACCTCCCTGGTGGCCTAAGGGTTAAGTCTCAGCACTATCAAGCTATCACCACAACTGCCTGAGTTCAATCCCTGGCCAGGGAGATAATGCACATGGCGCAGCAAACCTCTCCTTGCTTGCCTGCTTCTCCCCTCAGCAGTGTATTTCAGTAGATCTGCCCGTTCTGCCCCCCACCCTGTCTCTGGTGAATCCGCTTTTCTCCCCGCCCCCACACCCCTGGCCTACACCTCAGTTCTTTCATGCAAAAACAAATAAATAAATCTAAAAAACAAAAGTGTGTACCTTAGGTTTTCCAAGTCATTCTAAAACGGTAATTATAAATTTCCTACTTAAAAAAAAAAAAAAAAGAATGAGGGGCCCTTAACACTTCTCCTTGGCTGCCATGGCCCTCCCTGCTGATTCCAGGCAGGGTCACAGACACTAGTTTCCTTGTTGCACTGTTAGCTGCTTTTTAGGCATTTAACAACAACAGTCTTTCGTTAATGAGGCTGATAAGGAACTGGAGCTCAAAGATTAAGTAATATGCTCAATTCCACTGAGGGAAGCTGAACTAGAGTTTGAATCCAGGTCTGAAGGGTAACTGTCACAAATTTCCAGTTACAGATTTTTCTAGTATTTTCTCCATATTCTTTTTTTTTTTTTTAAAGATTTATTTATTTATGCATACAAGTGCTGGGGTACAGGCCAGAGATGCAGGGAGGAGAGGATTCACCAGAGACAGAGTGGGGAACAGAACAGGCAGACTGACTGAAACACACTGCTGAGGGGAGCAATGGGCAAGACAGGAGAGGTCTGCTTCGCCATGTGGGTTGCTCCCTGGCCGGCCGGGGATCCAACTCGTGCCACAAAGGCTGTGGATTGCTTCATAGTGCAGTGCTTAACCCCTTGCACCACTAGGGAGGTCCCTCCCCATATTCTTGAGTGACTTTATTCTAGACTCCATAGAACAGTGGTTGAGAGTAAGGAAGGAGTCAGCTAGCCTACATTTACAGCCCAGTGTCACCACACAGCAGCAGTGAGACCTGGGCAAAAGTTACTGAGCCTTTCTGTGTCTTGTTTCCCACTCCGCAGAACCGAGACAGCCATGATACTTAGACTTCACAGATTTGTTGTGAAGATCAAATCATTTTAATAAGTGCAAGGTACTTAGGAAGAAGCCTTACATACAGAGCAAAACATAAGTGTTGCTGTTTTTATTATCTTTCATGGCATTGTCCCTAAACTCTTTCATGGAAGCAATTATATATACACTTTTTTTTTCCCAAGGCTTTACTGCAGGAAAAGAGGACCCAAAATATTTACTCTAAAGATCACCAAGAAAAAAAAATGTTTTAACTCAACATTCATTATATATACTAAATAGCACAGATCAAAAAAACACAGGCAAATCAGAAATTTTACTTAAAACTCATCCAGCAAGGTGGATGTGGTAGATTCATTCCATGCCCTTCTTTCTCGTCACATAAAGTGCACCTTTTTTATCTTCCCTGTCCATGTTCCTCATGCCCCACCCTAGCAATCCAGTGCTTTAATAAAGCATTTATCATTATGACATGCTATGATGATTTATTTATATAGACCGCTACTGGCACCAGACAGAGCAGGGCAGCACCGAGCACACTCACTTGTACATCCATCTTCCACAGTAACCAATAAGGGTTTTTGATCATATCATTCTATCTAGTAAATGTTTAATTGAATGACTCAAAGTGGTCATTTGCGAGGTTTTGTTTTTTTTTCTCCTGGATTCCATTCTCGTCAACATTCCCATCTCAGATTTCCTTCATGGTCAGTACATGTTTATTCTTACTGCCTGATTCTGTCTGCTTCTTCCACCCTCTCCCAATAACTGGCAAACCGAGTGCTTACAAAGACCACCACACAAACAGGGCAGTATAAGGGTCTTCCTCTCTGCAGGGTACTGTTAGATACTGTGCTAAAGATAAAATGAAAGAAAACATGGGCTAAGAAAGAAAAAGATAAAAGATAAGAAAAAGATAAAATATAAGAAAAAGATAAAATACATACAGAAATAACTATAATGAAAGGCTGCCATCTTTTTTTTTTTTTTTTTTTTTGTGGGACGCTCGCCGGTGGCCGGGGAATGAACCGGCGCTACAGAGGCTGCAGGCAGCCTCACAACCCAGCACTCAACCGCTGCACCACCAGGGGAGGCCCAAGGCTGCCATCTTAACTGAAGTTCAAGCAAAGCAAATGCTAGCTCTCTCCATCCACCCTGGGGGTCAAGCAAAGCAAAAGCCAAGCTCTCTTCATCCATCCTGGGGGTCAGAGAAGCTTAGTACAGGAGGTATCTCTGAAACTAAAATTTGGAAGATGAACCGAATTCTACCATTTAGCTATAAGAGCAAGAGCTAGGATGAAAAGCACATGGCATGTTCAGGGCACCTGAAGGAGTCTCTTGTAGTCAAAACTAGTATTAAACAGGGTGACAAAGAGGAGGTAGTGGTGCACTTAGGAGGACCCTGAAAGGCAGGCTTAAGAATCTAAATTTTACTCCTGCCATTTGTTTTTGGTCTTCAAGGTAAAACAAATGACTGCTTCCCTGCTCTATCCCACCTTCAATATGACCATCCCATTTACATGTACTTAATGACCACAACTTTGGGATCCAAATCTCTTCCTGCCTTTTACTCCCAATCTCCACACATTGCAGAATGTAGCTCCTGGCCCCACAGGGCCAAATGATCACTTCTGCCCTCTTCCTTGAGGGACCAATGCAGGGTTTTTACAACTCGTTTTTCTAACCTCCCCTTAATTCCTTGTTGCAAAGGATCATAAACAAATCAACAAAGCCATCAAGGTGATATCATTAAAAAAAGAGTTCACAGCCAGGGTAGAGACCCCACTTTTCCCTTCATCACTCCTGTATTTCCTACAACTTGCAGGATACTGGCACAGCACAGGCCCCATCCCCAGGTATGACCGAGGTTTAAAATCAGGGGAGGGAAGGCAATTTAGTCTTTAAGTCGCCTGACTTAAACCTTCCTTGCCCATTTGTAGTCCCACTAGATGGTTGCCTAAGGACAAACAGCATGGCCCTCTCACCTGGTAATCTCCTGCTGCAGCTGTGAGACTGAAGGCACGTAAAACACCACCCCAAAATAGACAGTGGGCTCCAGCGCATGCTTGTCCAGCTGCTTCTTTAGAGGCTTTTCCAAATCTACCCACCGGCGCTGATTTTGCTTATTGTGGTACCAGAGGCTGAAGTAAGTGATCTGCAAAGAGGAAAAGTCACTGAAGGAGACAAAACACATAAAAGGACTTCCACCCTTTAATTGCATTAACCCAGAAGCTGGGATCAAATGACAGCAGCCCCCCTATTGCCTCTCTTCATAGAAATAGACAATAGTGAAACCTGAAGAAGAAAAAAAGAGACAAGACCTATTGAGCAACTTGTCATTATGGAAACAAGTGAAAAGTCAATTCCTCTTACTATTTCTTCTACTCTGTCCCAAAAAGTGCAACCTGGCCTAGACAGCAGATTGTAATGGCTGCCACACAGTTTTACACAAACCTACATGCTGAAAAATACTTATTTTCATTACTGCAATACTAAGTTTATCATATTTCATATTTTTTAAAATATTTTTTATTTACTTTTATGTAGAAGAACTGAGGTATAGATAGGCCAGAGGTGCAGAGGGTGAGATGATTTACCAGAGATAGAGTGGAGAACAGAGCAGGCAGATCTACTGAAATACACTACTGAGGGGAGCAGAGGGTGAGACAGGAGAGGACTGCTGCACCATGTGGGTTGCTCCCTGGCCAAATTCATGCTGCAGTAATTGCCGATAGCTTCATAGTGCTGAGACTTAACCCCCTGACACTACCAGGGAGGCCCCACATTTCTTATTTTAGAATAAGCATAACTGGGTCTCCACTTAGTAGGTTACTAAGTAATCTTAATAGATTAATCTTAATAAGTAATCTTAATAGATTACTTAGTAGACTATTGAATGTTGAAATTAATTCAACTTTTCACTACTCTCAAATTTGGCTCTCATAAATAAATTCCATGTACATATTATCAACTCTAGTGATAGAGGCAATTATAATTCTTCTTTGGCCCCAGAAGTTCACTAGATACAGTTTTTTTAATAGTCCAGAGGTCTTTTCTTTTTGCATACCCCATCATGCCATCACTGCACAGGGGTTCTCGCAAAGTATGCCTCTGTGGGTGGGGCAGGCTGTGCTTCAGCTGAACCCAAGAACAGTTCTCTTTGGCGTTCTTTTTTTCTGATGATCTTCTTTCACATGTTGCAAGGAGGAATCTTGGCTCTTAGAGAGCTTAGTATGCTCAATGCAAACATGAACTCTCTTGGCAAGAATCATGCCTTTGTTTGTTTACAGCAATGCCAACTGCATTCTGGGTTAACATTATAGACATTTCTAGGTTTACCATGGTAACGTTGGGGCCTTCCTGTTTGAACAGTGCCCGTCCCTGGATGTCTAAAATGTCACCTATCTTATAGATTTGCATGGATGTGGCCAAAGGAACCTCTATGTTTTCTAAAAGGCCCAGAAAACACAGCAGGCACCTCTCCTACTTCCCTTTGTGCTGGCCATTTGGGCAACTTGCCCAATACTTGGCCTAGTTTTTTCTCCAGTCAGCCCCTACATATTAATCTAAAGCAACTATAAAGCTATGGGAGCAAATTTACACACAGTGGCCCCATGTGGCTACTGAGCACTTGAGGCTAAGGCAAGAGAAGAACTGAATTTTTAATGTTTTTTATTTTAATTGACTTAAATAGCTGCAAGAATCTATGGCTATCAAATTGGATAATATAACTTTAGGGCAACAATTAAACAAGATATAATAACACCCAGGCTATTTCTTTAACCTGTATTATCCATTCAATAAAAGAATTTTGTGTAGAGTTAACTATACAAATATGTCCTCAATATTTATTTCATCTTACAAGTTTTTATGAAGAAATGTCATAAGATTAAGAATCTGTCTGTCTTCCCTTTATATCCAAGAAGTTTCTAGAAATTAAGCAGAATTTGCTGAATGAATGTTCTCTTGCTTCCATTTGCCACCCAAGCAACTTATCACTTATGAATAGAGTATTCTGAACATTTACAGTCACCACATGACCAGCAATTCCACTTCAAATATGTATTCAAAAACAGGTACTCAAATATATATATTCAGGCATGTTTATAGGAGAACTATTCACATTAGCTGAAAGGTGGGAGCAATTCAACTGTCCATCAATATGCAAAGGATAAACAAATTGTGGAATGTACATACACTGGAATAGCATTCAGTCATAAAAAAAAAAAAGAAATGAAGGAGATAAATGCTACAATGTGGATAAACCTAAAAACACTATGCTAAAGAATCCAGACACAAATTTTGTTATTTTATTTATAGTAAGTGTCCAGAATCATTAAGTCCAAAAAGACAGAAAGGTATACTGGTGGATATAAGCTGGGAGAGAGGACAAATAGGAGCTAATGTTTAATGGCTATAGGGTTTCTTTTTAGGGTAATAAGAATGTCTGGAACTAGACAGAGGTGGTGCTGTGAATGCACTAAATGCCACCAAATTGTTTACTTAATGGTTAATTTTCTGCTATGTGAATTTCATCTAAAAAAAGATTCTTTAGGATCAGAAACAATTTAAATTTTTTTCAAAAAAAGACTTTAAAATGTTTTTAATATTGAAATACATCAAATTCATTTTTAAAAGTCTAAGGAACACAAAAAGAGAAAAAAAAATTCAAAAGCCTAAGAAAAAAATTATCTAGAAACAGGTGAGTCTAGCCATGAGCTGATTTTTTTAATTTTTAATTTTCTAATAAATACTAAAGTCAAGATTTTGTAAGTTTGACAATTATCTGGCAACCTCAACTACCCAAAAATAATTGAGAAACACACAGTAGGCAAAAATATGTTTGGGAAACAAAAACTTTGACAGAGAAGAAATTTCCTGTCTCTTTTATGAATCTTTTTACCCTTATTTAATATCCAATTTTAATGAGAGTAACCATGTGGTTATCTAATTTAAATCAGATTACAAGATGAAAATTAAAGGAAAGGGGTTTTTAAAACAGCATGTTGGCAGTGGTAGGAAGTAATGGGTAAAGCTCTCCAGCAAGAAAACACATACAAACAAACAAAAACCATTTAGAAAGAAGTTATAAAGAATGACCAAGGCGTGGCAGTCTGAAGTTACTTATCAAGGGAACATAATAACTTTAAACATTAGTCATATCTTTAACAACCACTGTTGCTAATAATTAATGTCCTTTGTTTAAGATGTGTAAAGAAGTTTATAAATCTTTCCAAAGACTGGCATTAAAATAGTTGTTTGGACAAAAGAGGAAGATTTGCTATTAGGAAGAGTTAGTTATGAGATTACTGCATTTCCCAAAGATAGTTAGAAAACAAATTTATTATGTGTCCTTTTATAGTACTTTGGCCAACTGTGGTTTCCTTACTTCATTTGTAAGTTCAACCATATTTTCCAAAGCCATGAAAATATTTCAATTTTTACTGCCTTGATATCTACTTATTATTTCTATTTCCTCTAAGGGGCTATACCTCAACTGCACTATACCAGCAAGGCATGGCACAGAGAAGATACTGAAGGCAGAAAGACTTGGCTTGTCTGGCCCCACCATTCTCAATGAGTCTTGGTTTCTTCACAGGGATAATAACGCGTACACTGCCTTCTTCAAAAAGTTGTTAAGTCAGGGGCTCCCTGGTGCTGCAGGGGTTAATGTCTTGGGGCTATCAAGCTATCACCAGCCACTGCAGCATGAGTTCGATCCCCAGCCAGTGAGCTAACTTACATGGTGCAGCTTCCCCCGCTGCTCCCCTCAGCAGTGTATTTCAGTCCGTGTGCCTGTTCTGTTTCCTACTCTCCCTGGTGAATGCTCTCATTCCCCACACCTCTCACCTGTACGCCAGTTCTTCTATGCATAAATAAATACAAATAAATCTTTAAAAAAATAAAGGTTGTGACGTACTTGTAAGTTATAATGGTACTGACAAAACTTAAGAGCACTTTTGTTATATTTGCTATCCACACACAAATTTAGCAGATAGGATGTCTTCAAATGTGACTGAAAGAATAGAACAAAACTTGAACTGAGCATGTTTCTTCCTTGAAAATACAACTTCAAATAATAGTCAAACTAATTTCTACCTTCAAAGTTAGGATTTACCAGGCCCTTTTACTTTGTAAAAGAGATGTACAAACCTTGGTACAGACAAGTCCTTGTGTGCCTTAAATTTCAACTATTATAGTCCATACTTGGTCTAAATATTTTCCAGAATCACATGTCCTCTCTTGCATCCAAGTCTTCCAGCTTACGCCTGTGCTGTATTGTTTATGACTTGGTCTAATTGCAATAAAAATTTTCCCATAGACCAGTCTTTAATTATTGGCTTTAAGTTCATGCCTCCCAAAACGCCCTACCTAACTTCCCAGGGCCCTTTCTGCTAAGAAACTTGACCTCCATGTGGCTTCTCAATCTCCACAGCTCTGACTACTCTGCCTGGTGACCAGTGCAAGGTGGCTTGATCTGTGGGAAATGCATTCCAGCAGAAGCCTCGGAATCACTGGGTCTTCAAACATCCCTGAGATCAATCCTCAATTATCATTGAACAGAATTTTGTGAAACTACTTCACTGTCAGCATTTTTATATTTATTCAATGATTTCCTCACAACTAGTTAAAATTTTTCAAAGCTACTTCCCTAACGTTGCACAGGTAACTGCCTGCTGTGTAAATTACAGTAAAAACAAAAGTTAAGCAATTTCAGAACTCGGCTTGTTTTCAGGCAAAATATGGTTGGGCTAACTTTACCTTAAAGGAGCTGACATTTATTCTGAGAACAAGGTAATTTGATAATTAAGTTTTCTGTTCTGAGGAAAAGCCTAGTTTACAAATTCCTGAGCTTGTGTAAAAGGGACAGTGTCCCCAAATCACCGCCATCTAAAGAGACACCAGCTATAACAAGCAGATCCAGGTCTGTCAGAATGTGAACCCTTTCCTAATCCCCAGGTCATTTCTAGTCTAATTATTTTAAGAATCTTTTTAGTTGCACTATTTTTAAAGCAGCACAGCGGGACACACAAATTAGCCAGAAGGTTTTTTTAAGCCATTGATTCATTGAGTTTGATAAAAGCTAATCCCATATAAAACTGCAATGATAATTTTATCCTGGCATTTTCTTAGGCTAGGCAGAGTCAGAAGACT